GCAGTTATTGAAAAGCAACTCCCCTTGCTCGGCAGCTTGTGCGTCTCTTCTGGCAGTGGGAAGTGGGTGTGCTGGGAGATCCCTGGACCTTTTACGCTTGGTTTTGGCACGTGTCAAAAACTACTGGCAGATAAGGAAGTTCGGAGCCTTAGATGTCAGTGTGGGCCGTCCCCTTGCAGCCAGCCCAGAGAGCGTGGCTGTATCTAAGAGAGCAAGCACAAAGGCACACATTTCTGCTCACATAAGTGTATAGGTTCTGTTTAGACTTATATTGAGGAAGACCAGGCTCCTCAAATAAAAGAACTTCTTATGCCCAGCACAAGCAGAACGTGAATATTCAACTCATATTATACTTAAGCCTGTTCTGTTTATACATTCCTTTGCTGAGTGAGCAAGTCAGCTGCCCAAAAGGGAGATCAAATTGGAGAGGCCCAGGCAGATGAGCACGCAAGGAAATATCCTTGGTTTTCAGTATTAGAGGGTACTTTTTGAGATCAAAACCTCTCACAGGTTTGGGCCATGTTCACCTGTTGACTTGGACTTGAGTTTGCAGTGTCTCATGGCCAATGTAAAGGCTGGCAGAATAAAAGCCATGAGGACTTCTCTCTGCAGTGTTGCTACATCCAGGCAAAAATACTCCCATTCAGAGGCACTAGCAACTTACAAAGCCAGGAAAACCTGTTCAAACTCTCTGACTACACAGAACACTAGAGCTAACTTTGTACGGGAGATGATGCTGGTTTACAACTCTCCAAGGTTTAAACTAGACCTGAACTTACCCAACCCAAGGCTGACTTCAGTGAGAGAAGTGCCATGAGACTCAAAGGTTGTGTGTGATTCAGGGCCTCCTGGGACAGACGGGGTTAGTGCATTGCAGACTGCTTTGTGGTACCGGAAAGTCACATTATTCAGGAAAGGGGAAAAAAATCCCACCTTTCCTCCACATGTTAGGCAAGATCTCTTTTATCATCTGGGCTGCAGATGAGAGCTCTGATCCTGTTCCCTCCTGCACAGAGATAATACTCCAGTTGAGTTCTTCTCTGGCTATGGCTGAGACTTGCTAAAATCTCCCTCTGATCTACTTTGGTCAGCTTCATTTCTCTGAGACACAAACCCCATTTCCATGAAAAAAATCCAAAACCCACAGTGTAGTTCCACCAGCATTTTTTGAAGTGAAAGCAGATGTCACCTGGACTAACAGAAGTCAGCGGGATAGTGAGTATATTCACCACTCAGGTTCTGTGGTGATCGACCTGGCTGCACATTGAACACTTGTCTTACAGCACTGTCCTTTGATACAAAATCGGCTCACATCATAATAGGAGAGGACTGAAGAAACACAGAAGCAGAAAAAGCATCCAGCAAAACCAGTGTATGTACTCTTCCGAGTCAGTAAATATACATAAATAAAGCCAATCGTGTCTTTGTAAACCGCAGTAGGTATTGCAAAACTACAAAAAACCTCCCAAACAAACAAAGGCCCCAATCCTGTACTCATTTATAGCCAAGCTTTTAGAAAAATCTCATGTCCTGCAAACCTCCCCAGGAAGGAACGACCAACAAAGCACTAGTTGACGTTCTTTCTGGTTCATGTTGATTGTAACAGGTCTAGAAAGTAGGAATAGCTTTCTGTGAGGCTTTACACTGAAGAAGGAGAGACTGTATGACCTGCATTATCTGTGGAAATTCTCCCTCCAGAAGAAACAAGCAGGCTTTTCAAAGTCAATTCTGAGGCATTACTTTAATCTGGTAAGAGAGCACACAGAGCTGATTTCACACCAAATTTCCATGTTTGGGCTCTGGTGAAGGACATGGAAAAATACATGCCTGTAGAGCAACACTCCCGTATAGGTTTTTTTTCAAAGCACAGGTGGAACAATCTGGCTAGAGAACTGTCTTAACTAGTGACCTAAGCTGTAACAGTGCCCGTTAATGTGATGTAAAAAGCCCTACTGCCTTGCTCCAAAGCAGCACTGGCATGTCCATGTCACCTCAGTCACTGGAGCTGACTATGAAGCACTCGTGACAGATAACACATTTTTCTACACCGTGGTGTCTTCCAGCACATTTCAGTGCCCCCATCACCCCGGCATCTGAGATCCTTTCTCATGAAATCAATGGCACTGGAAAAGTACTTAGCGACCTTTCAGGACTTCGCCAGCTTTTGTTTTTCTGGAATCAATGTCTGAAGGCTGGACTTTATAAAAATTTAGTCGCACGAACCATTTTGGTTAGAAAGTGTGCCACTAATTATTTTTTAGATTTGAAATTACTAAAAATAGAAATTCAATACAGGTTGGATCAGTGCAATGACCAACCTTCTATCACCTTGAGCCACAGGATGCTGAAAATGCCCCTTCTGTGCAATGGATCCTTTTCTTGGAGTAGTTTGTCCTGGGTCCATCCCACTGGGTTTAGCAAACCTCCCACATCATCTTTGGTTCATCATTTCATGGAATAAGGACAGTGGCACCAACTCCTTTTTAATGTGTCCAATGAACACAGTGCAATTTGACTGATCACTCGCTGGCACCTTCCTTCTCACTTCTCAAGTATCCCCCTTCCAGATTTAAAACTCCCGTGCTATTTACCCTCTGAACTCTTCAAGAGGACACAATCTGTGGTAATATCAGCATAAAGATGCTGTGTGACACAAGTAACAACTGTTAAATAAACGAGACTTCTGTGATAAGTTATTTTACAAAGGCTTAGTAACAGGCTACAGCCTCTGTATGATTACCAGGCCCATTTAGGCACAGAGGAAACCAGTGAGTTACAATTATTGTAAGACAAATGGCAGTCACGCTTCAGAGCAGGTCAACCTTGTAAGAAATGTCAGCAGCTGCCAGGACAACTGCACAGCTCTGCAGCTGGCACCTCTGCCGTCTTTCAAACATACACTTACCAGGGGATTAGGCTCTGTCACACTGCCTGCATCATCTCTCTCACTCACTTTTTCACCACCTTTTTTGTATCCTCTAGACCACACTGAATTACAACTTACTGTAAACACACTGGCATGATTTCTGACCGTATACTTTTTGTGCGATTTCTGTTCACTACCTTTCCTTTTTTAGCCTGTACAAATCCATTCCTTATTTTGATTTTTGCCTGAATCACCAACTGACATCTACAATTCACTTCCTCAGGCAAGAGCAAATACCCACAAGTGCTAACAGCAATAAACACTGTGGGCTGCTGCCCGGCCCTGCAGTGACTGCAGCTTTTGTTTAAAGGCACTACAGGGCTGCTGGGCTTACGACATCTTTTTGCATCCTTGTAAATTTTAAAAGTTTTTATTTACACCAAACATGTCACCTTTCCCCCAAAGAAAAACTCTGTTAAAATGGTTCCACAGGGTGTGTTAAGCTTTTATACAGAAAAGAAAAAAAAAAAGCAGGACTGTGCTGTGCCACAGATTTTACTTTAAAGGATCCCTTTCATAGTCCTTTTAGGCGCTTCTGAACAGGAGTTTTATGAATTTATAACAACATATATGTCAGGCAGACACTGGAATTCAAATTATTTTAACTCCAACTAAAGGCCTGTGTTTGAATGTCTGAATGCATTCCTTTGTGGCTCAGATTTCTGGATCTTAAAACTGCAAAGACCGTATCTTCATTATAAATATTCCATTTCTTAGTCATTCTTGTGTCAAAGGACTGCTGGAGAGAAAATCTGCACAAGTGTGGTCCAGGAGGAAGCAGAAATCAGAAGAGTTTTGTTGCAGAAGTACAGATGCCAAATGTGCTTGGTGAGCCTGGCATCTCTGTTATGTAGCTACATCTTTGGTACCAAAAATGCATAAAAGCAAAATGAATATTGGCATTGCTTAGTTAGTACCTACATGGCAATGTGATCTGTCTTGATCCTAGTTGCTTAGGACCTATTGCACTTATTTACTGCTATGGGGGAGACTTTTGTTGGTTTCCTTTTAATCTAATACAGAGTCTGGATGCCTGCTGGGCTGGAGGGTTACTACAGATCCCTGTATTTGCCTAGCTGGTTGTTACTGCTGACTTCTTAACTGTCAGGATGGCTCATAAATGGCTGGCTTATTGGACTAGTTAGTTTAATGACTGTTAAAGAAAAGACATTCTTTCACAATGAATCCTGTAATTGTTTCTTTGCAAACTCTTTTTCAAGCATTTGCTAAATACAATAAATATTTCCATGTGGATATAACAGCAGTGCACCATACAAATAACAGGGTTGGAATGAGGCATGAGAACGGCTCTGCATTTTATGAAAGTCAGATTGATTTTTAGAGACATGATGGCTATTTTCACTTAATGAACCCCTCAGAAAAGAAAAATTCAATTCAAGTTTTACGATGTAGGCACTACAAGAACTAGTAGAGGCAAAAAGTATGCTGTCTGCCTTCCCTGCTGCTGCATTTCTAGCAGCCAACTCAGCCCTTTCCTGAATCCCCCGAAAGTCTCTGAGATGGCTCATGTGTAGGAAGTAAATCTCATTCTGTTCCAGGCAGAAACAACCATCAGCACTTTGCTGAAGTTGAACCTCTCATGTCTATGCCAACACAAATATGCCAGCTAGGAAGGAGAATCCTGGCAAAAGCAGGGCTTGGCTAAATAATCTGACCTTTTCCTTGGCTTGGCTCTGAAATTTGTCTGAAATGTCTTAAACTACCCCATTCTGGCTACCTGCTGTGCCCAAGGTTATTGGTCAGTGCAAAGAAATTACTTTTTAAACTAGCACGCTGTAGTAATGTTTTCTTAAAGCTTAAAATGTTAGTTAAAGGTAGGGTACCCAAACATGAGATACAGGGAGCAAAGCACACCTAATATTTGGGGTAGCACAGACTCAGGGCAGTTGTTTAGTCCTGGAATCACGTTTATGCCAAGCCAACTTTCCAACAGGATATATTCCTGAACTGACACTAGCCCCCATGAGCTTTATATAATTTACATTCTGTTACAATTGTTTAGTTCTTCTGCACTTTCTTCACATTCTCCCAGAGAATACGGACAAGCAGCATCTTATTATGATACAATAAGAAACTTTATTTCTGCATATTTCTCCGCATTGAAACGAAGATTTAGCAGCAACCTGATTTTAATAAGATTTCTTCCCCACCTTTACATGAGATTGAAATAACCAAAACTGGCATTTTTTGCTTGGTTTCACCTCAAAAGGTTCCAGCTTCCTTTTACAGCCCAGCAAAACCTTTGCTATTCTTGCACTAAGAAGTTGATGAGGGCAGTTCGGGGAGAGAGAAAAGCCTTTTTAATGGTTCGTCCCTGGAGATGCTTGAGTCCAAGTTCGCTTTGAAGAACCAGCTCACGGACTTCTTCAAAATTGCGGGCTGCTTGCTGAGGCACAGAAACTTTGCCGCAAGCTTTGTTATTGATCTGAAAAACAGACATGAAAACAAGAAAAAACAGAAGTTACTAGACTGATTTCTACAATTTCATTTCCTGGATCCAATCCCCTGTTACACAAGGGGGAAAGTGGAACAAACTCTCTCTCCTCCAACACCACACTTTCTGAGTAGAGGATAAAATTCTTTGTATCTTCTCTCCATCTATCATAAAATAAGAAAATGAAACTCTGACTCATGATACTAAAAAAAAAATTGAAGAAGTGGCCACAGGATGTCTTAGTTCGGAAGACAGCAAGCAGCACATGACTATGCAATGCAGTGATCTTTTAATTTTAAAAGTGTGACAGTTATATAAGCTGGATAAAATGGTTTTTCCGATCGGGAATCTTGGTTTGTACGTACTTCTGGGCAGGAATTTGGATTTACAGCTAAGAGATGCCTTCCAGAGATTCAAATGCAAAATTTATTATTTTTAGAAAAATAGGCTTTAACTTGTTATGTGTTTCCCTTGTACTAAACGCAAGACTCATTAATCCAACACCAATCACAAAGATGTCAACTGCTCATAAGGTAATGCTTTCCTGTGCTGGGCTGGTTTTCAGAGCAGCTTACATGTTGGTTTTGCATCAGCGGGGCAGAATCATGTGAGTAAAACTGAGCAAGGCCCTTGGAGGGAATTACCTTAATTTATCAAATGGTTTTATATATCCTTTCTGTCATCCAGTAAAAGAGTAGATAATGGACAGAGACTACAGAGCCTGACTGAGTACCTTTCTGGAACTGGTGTAAAATTAATTATTACAAAATCTTTCAGATTTATATGGACTATTTTTAGTGCATTAATGAGAAGAATATCAATCCCACATTTTAGAAAATGAAATAATTTGAATTTTTAAATCCAGTTAATCACATTACTTGCATAAAAATCTGCTGTAGGTACTGCAGATTTCTGACCTTTAGGCATCATTGTAAGGAATTTTCAACCATCTAAAAGAAACATATGTTGCTTCATGCAGCTTGGACATAAAAATGTACATGACTTAGTTTTCATCTGGATTTTATCTGGGATACCTGTATGCAACATATGACAGGTGAGAGAGACCTAGTTCACTTACCTAGTTTGTATTTTATTGAAAAGAAAATAATCTGTGCAATTCTCTGAGAAAGAAAGTTGGGACAGATTTTTAAGGAACAAGATGAAGTCTCAAATGCAGCAGGTATGAGTTACTTCTGTTTTTTGACTAGACTTGACATTAATTTGCAGTGATAATGTAGGCAGACGTTTAACTATTCCTACGTGCATCCATAATGTGACATCATAAAAGGCTGGCTGTCTTAAACTTTGCCTTTAGCACCTGGTGCAAAGTAAATCCCTTGAAAAACGCATAGGAGTTCATTTTTAAAGCTTTTTGTGAAAAGTAAATACAAGTAGTTCTTTCTGACAGGACACTTCAGAGAAGAAATGCATTCCACAGGAAAAAGAAAACAGTAAAATCCAAACAGATACAGTTTTGGTGAGAATATAAAGCAAGCTTCTCAGCTTGCTGCTAGGACACGCAGCCTGCAGTTCAAAACTATGCCTGCCTAGTTAAAATGTCGTTCACTGTCTTCCATCGTGCAAATTAATATGTTCCAGTGGACGGATGTTGGCAAGGGGAAATTTTCCAGAACTAGCCTATTTGGTGCTGTTCTCAACAGAAAAGCCAAGCAGTCTAAATCAACTTGGTAAATAAACGACTGCTAGTGGTTGTGTTTTCCTAGAAAGGTCGAGAAGCCTGGGCGACCTGGCACTGTGTACCTTCCCACAGCATGTCTCCACCTTCCCACAGCATGTCTCCCGATCTTCCCACACTGTACTGTGAGCTGAGTCCGAAACTCCTACCAAACAGCAGATTGGTTACGATTTCACCACCTTTGCAGCATGTCTTTCATTGTATTGTAGATATCATGAAGCATTTTAACACTTCTTAAAATAGGCATCTGCAGATTTAATTGCACACTGTGGTGTAACAAGCATCCTATTCACACATCCTTTCAGTCAAGGGCCTAGATTCTCAGCAGGACAAATACCTTCTGCTATACCTCCATCTCTCTCTCTGTATCTCACTAGACCAGCATAACCCTCAGCATTTCCAGATAAAAGTGGCAGCACAAGAAACTTTGATGCTGGCAGCTGTGTTTCTCTAAAAAAACATGGCAAACTGCAAGAGGAGAAATACATGAGTATTTGGTCCTTTCTTCCCCTGAGGAAGGAAGCTGTTGCTTTTTTCTTCTTTCCCCTCACCTTTTATTTTTTTTTTAAACATTTTACATTCTAGACTATTGTGGATCTACAGGGAGCTAGTGGGAACTAGAGAAGTTATAGAAGATGAAATGAAATAACAAGAGACTGAAAAATAAGCACCTGGAGGCTGCAGAGAGGAATTTTTAATTCAATGCAAATATTTTTTTTACCACTGATGCATAATCCTTCTGAGAAGTAAAAAAGAAAATAAATATCTGTGCACTGTTAGGCCTCCCTCATAGGCTAAAGCAAGGAACATGACACCAACTCTTTTTTTTATTTGTAAAAACATCAGTTTTAAGACCACATCTGCTAACAGTTCTGCACCACCTAGAAAATGCGAGGAATGCTAGTCAGAAGTGTGCTCATAGGATGAAATGCACACTACATTTAGGTCAGATTTTTCACAGCATTAATAACATGCAGTATGATTAAAAATACTTGACTTTGCAATAACATTTAGAGTAACAGATACTGCACATATCCAGTGTATTTAAATGTCTTTCTTGTAGGCAATCTGTATTGTATCAGCCGAGGATACAATTAGTTGGTTGCTTTCGCTGCTTTGGGTTAAATATGGAAAGAAATAACTCCAGCACAGACAGGAAATAATGAAGTATTTTTTGTGAAGAGAAATAAAACCAAAATGTCTCAGCAGGCAAATCCCTGGCAGCCTGAGGCAGTTTGATGTCTTGAGAAGAATAGGGTTGTGGCCTAAAGACTCAGTTTGACTGTACAGCCTTGTGAAGAGACACTGCCTCTTTGCAACTAAGAAATCCCTCCATATGTGAAGTGTTCCTTGGTTTAATGAAGGCAATTTAGTTTTGCAGCCATACAAAAACCTACAGTGTCCACAAGACTTTATAATATTCACATCCCCTGCTCCCCCATATTTCCCTTTTGCCTTGCTCTTACAGTAGAAAGCCAGGCACACTCTGTAGGCACTATTGTTAGAATTATTCCCAATTGAAAAAAGCAACTTGTCTCTCCGGTCTTCCAGTCACTTTCTGTCTCAGAACTAAGAAAGGTATTTACACACATCATATTTTTCTATGAATATATGACTCAGAACACAGGAGTTGCTTTTTCTCTTATTACAAGACTGTTACACAAGGCTATAGCTTTGATAAAGTCAACCAGAAAAAGAAACAAAAATAATTTTCATAATGGCTGTTTAAAGCAAAATTAATTTTTTTCTGTTTTCTATTTTTGAAAAGGAAATTTTAATGTCAGCAGAAAAAGTATCAGTGAAATGTTTAGGCATTTTCATGTTTGGTTGTGTAGTCTTAAAAACACTGAGTTCAGAGTTTTCCCTGTATTGTTGCAGTTGTTATTTCAAAGATATATTTAATAACATGTTTGCTTTAACCACAACTGCAAAGATGTTTCTATAATTACACGATTTCTCATTCATGACTTCCTTATAAACTGAACACTGGAATTCAAGATGTTTGCTAGCTGTGCTTGGATGTGAAGGTTTATTTTAAGCTTGAGCAAAGTGATTATACCTCAGTGAAGATTTTTACTGGTATAAGTAAATGCTTATCACAGAAAGAGAGGGCCAGGAAGAGGAAAAAACCAGTTCGTCCACAGTGACTGTAAGGCTAAGTCTGCTATTAGCCCCAGCTGGCAATTGAGTCCTTCTCCTTGGTTTGGGAAAAGATGCCAATTGAAAATTTCCTTCAAAAATACATACTCCATGGCCTCCGTGAAGGGTATATGTTTAATGTTGGAAAAATTAGTATTTTAGCAGCATTTCTCATTCTGTTCAAATAGACTGACTGAGAGATCTAGCAAGATATGAAATTATTTGCAAAGATACTTTGATTAAGGAAATCTACAGAAACATGACTTCCCCTAAATTCAACCAGTCTCCTCCCTCCTCAAAAAACTCAGTTCAACAAAAATAACCCAACTGCTTTGCTCTTTCTCCCAAAGGAGAGAACAGAATAAAATGCAACTAAAATGCATTGCTTCTGTTTCTCTTACACACACAGAACATGGAGTTTCACATGACCATGTCTTATAGGGGCTCCATTTCATTCAATATCCAGGAACGCAAAAAGTGTTCAAGTTGAAGCATTTAATTTAATTTAAAACATTGAAGTTTAGTGTGCATGGTATATGAAAGGTTATTCTTTGGTGAACAGTGGAAAAGGCAGGAGTCCTGCAGATCTAATAGTATGCAACTATGTTAATTACAGACTATCATAATGCCTGAACATGAAGAACTTAAAGGCAAGTCAGCTGATGGAAGAGCTGTTCATGGATCCCACGCACTTGGCTCCAGGCACTCCCTCTATCGCCTGCAGTGGCACTTGTTGCTACTGTGCACTACCTAATGAGTTAACTAGAGACATAGGAAAAAAGACAGTAAACTACATTGTGCATGTGCACATGTTGGAAAATTACAGGTTAACTAAATGTAGTTATATGTCCACTCTTCTACTGAACTGCCAGCTCTTTCCCTAGACAACAAAGGTGTTAGAGCTCAAAGAGAAATTGGAATGCAGTTATAATATTCCCAAAGATACCTGTTTTTCCTCAACCTCATTCCTGCAAATACGGTGTCCTGAAATGTGCCAGAGATCCATCCTAAGTCAGATGGGAAACATGGTTTGGCAAAAATCACAACTTAACTCAGCTTATGAGAGGTTCTATTAGGCAACCACAGCACTACAGGTACCACAAGAAATGTCACCTAATTATACATTTTTGCACAGGGCCAAATTAATAAATGCACTATCAGGAGAAAAATCTGGAGGGACCTGTATTTTGATCATAGTTTTGACTGTATCGTCCTTGCCCACGGCTGTTCATTGGTCAAATCTCTACCGGTACTAATATGGAATCACTCTGAAAGGTTTACATTTAGGTCATCTCCGTTTCAGACTTGCTACATTTTTTCATTTAGGAAACCATTGTAATTACTCAGCACAACTGCAACTGCAGCTTCTATTCTGAACTTTCACTGAGCCATCTAATAAGGGAACTGATTTCCACAAGAGTGGAAATTCCATCATCCTCTCAGCTCATAACACATTAGCTGGCCACTACTGAAAATCAATCACAATGCTCTTACCAGTACAGACATCTCCACAACATCTGATGGCTGAAGGTACTCTGGGTCTACTTTGGGCCAGGACTGATGCAGTACGTCAGCATCCCAGTGATGATGAGTACAAAGTTTATTCTCCATATGTGCCAAACCTGGAAAATGAAAACAGTCAAACATTCAGTGGTACAGTAACCAGAACATTCAATCTTTGGAATTTGTTTGACAAATAAGATCAGGATAAAGTTGACTTTAAAAGCAAGTGTCATAGGAGGAAATAACATTGTTTAGATTAGCATACAACACATTATAAACAGAAAGATATACATCTTTGAAGTGTTTGCTTTATACCATGCATAGGGACATTAACATGAACAATGTGGGCACATTGTAGATTTGAGTTGATACTCTATAACGTTGCCATAAGCACAGAAGATCACTGTTTATTATTTTAAATTGTAATACTGCAACAGAAGCTGACCTCTACTTCTAGAAGTCAATCATAATACTGCATTTATTTTCAGTAACGCCACCAGTTTGATTAAAATTTTACTAACAACTCAGAATGATAAACAATTATGGCTTATTATTTTACCACCTGTAGTATGCTGGGTAGTTTCTAAATTTGCAAGTCAAACTATTTGTAAGATTTTCTAGATTTTGTGAACTATATTTTCTCATAAATTAAAGGTGGTACAAAGGAATGCCGTGCACAGATTGCTCTCCTTCTTATGATTTTTACATTCTGAAACACTTTATCCTTTGATTTTATTCTTAAAAACTCCTAAAATGGGTATAAATTATCTCCTTTTATTAAATGGGCTATGCTCTTCCCAAGAGAATTCATTCCTGATTTGTTTAAGTAATAGGAGAATATGATACAAGTCATTCTGAAGCTGCATTCTTTAACTGAATAAAAGCTCCTGAGTGGGGTTTATGTTGTTGTTTACTCCAGCTGTACAATAAAATAAAAAATTTCACTTATCAAGAGGCTGTCAAATATGATCAATGTTGATGATGATTGCTCTTGAGATTCTCACAAAGCCAGGGGGTTGTTAAATTAAAAACATTCTCTGTGTATGAATAAGAACACAAACTAATACTTTTCCTAAGCATGTGCTTCGTTCAGAACTGCAAAATGTATGCGAAATCTCATCTGCTTTAGGGAAACTCCAGCAAAAGCATAAAGAAAACCCATCAACACAAGATTCTCTCTTGATTGGGACTGAGGTACCTGAAGCTGTTCAAATCACAGGATGACTGCAGACACAGGAGCAAACAAAACACATGCACAGTGCATACGTGAATTCACTTGGGTGGATTGTTTAGACTAATACAGTGAATAACAGCAAACAAGGACATAGAGAGAATGCAACTTCCTCCAGAAAAATCCACCAGATTTTTGTCAGCGCTTTTTCAGACAAAAGACACAGTCGTGCTATTTGCTGAATGACTCAGAAAGAGGCAGTGGGGTGGACTGATGGGAGCTATTTCAAATGACAAGCAAGAATGTGCACATTTCCTATTGACAACAACTATTTATTAGGTAAATAATTGATTAAAACACTTCAGTGGATATGGTTTTGCGTATTTTTTTCTCTTGCAGCAGTAGCTCAGAAACTGAGAGAACAAAAGAACTGAAGGAACTGAGGATAAAAAAAAAGTCTTCACATTGATGATTCATTATCACACTGACTTTAAAGACAACAGCTGTTAGATTCTTTCCTTTTTGGCTTTTGAACATCCACATGAGCTCACTTCTTTCCAACTGATCACATGCCTTGTGGCAGGAGCATTCACACTGGCCACTCCTCATTTTCCTGTTGAAGAGGATTCTTCAAACTATTTAAAACCAACTTTCTAATATAAGAGCTTCTGTCTACAAAAGCAAAACCAGGATCACTTAATTCCTGTAGAGGCTGTCAGTCCTAATAAATCTACTAATAAAAAAAATAATTAAAATGTATTCTGAAGCAAAGGGGTACTAAACAAAACTTCAATCTTTTGGTTCATTTTCTTGCTACAAAATGAGCTACGAGCTCATCCATAGAAAAAAGAGAAGTACAAGAGTCAACAGAACAAGTTTCAGAAAACAGTTTGACAGGAAGGCAAAATGAAGGTTTTAGTTATGTCGCCTGTTTTGCTTCCTGCCTTAATGCACATTTTGTGAGCTGTAGAACACAGAAAACACAATGATTTGGTTTGTATTTTCAAAATTCAACACACTAGACCAGAAACTTCATTGCCATGAGCCAGAATGGTGATGGTCCACTTGGAAGGACCTAGACAGTACCTTTCTCCAACCTTCCCACTTGATTCTGAGACACTAGACAAAAGCACTGTTTGAGATGTTAAAAACTGAGCATTTCCTAGATTTTCATTGTGAAAATATGAAAAACCCATGTTATTGTCTTACTGTACTGGAAACTGTCTAATGAAGCACATTTTATGAAGTGATGTGCATTTGGCTTCATATTTTTTGATGTATTTTGCTTTTATGGCTATTGATTCTTCTGCAGATGTAGGACAGAAAACCAACTGAGTACATTTTAGTTTACTGTAAGCTGTTTACTTATAGGTACCCATCTGTACAGGACACATCAAAGACAATACTTGTGGCTCAATCTGAAGCCCTGATCCTGCCGTTGGATCTGCTTCAATGGAGTTCTCCTGACTAGCAAGCTAATGCTAGAACAAGGTTTCCCTAACCAGTAACTCACAGCACTGGAAAGTAATTTAAAACACCAAGTTAAACATGTACTATATTACTGTAAATGAGTGAGTTGAGAGGAGGGGATAGGACCAGTCTAACAACTTTTCAGCTCAGGGCCATGTTTTACGAGCATTATACGAGTATTTCTTAAGCATAACACCTCCCCTAAGGTGCTACTTGGCAGGGAAGAGCAGATTCTCATTTTAAAAAGATTTAAGAAGGAAGACATGGAAGCAACTGTGTATCAGCAAGGTGTTAGGACAGCCAGGTAACTCTAGTCTTACAGAAAAAAAAATGCACTGTAAAAAATTATCTGTAAAATTCCAGCAATTGTGCAGCTACGTGGACACAAAATTATGTAGGCCGGAGGGAAAGCTGTGATTATAAAATAAATTGAGAAAGAACTGGCACAGAGAAGAAAAGCAGAAAAGGGAAGGAGGATGGAAGCCTTAATGGGTGATAAAAGGAAGTTAATGAAAGCATCTGAAACAATGACAGTATCAGAGTTTAAGACTAGGGATTTTCTAACAGAAAATATAAGGTCAGAGGGGAAAGTATAAGGTAACTATGTGAGTGCATTACCCAAATGCTGCTAACTTTTGGATTTAGCTAAATTGAAACAACAGAAATCTGTGTTAAGTAAAAATCCACCACACTGGCAGACAAGTAGAAAAAGATTCTAAAAAGCTCAGATCAGGAGTGTGTAAGGGCAAACGGTGATGCATTCTGGGTCAGTATCTTACTTGCCTCTGCAGCATCTTTCTGGGATTGCTACCATGTTATTTTTTCTTGATATGCTTTTTACTATTTAATGAATCTCCCTATTTGGCAGATTCAGGCAAGTTGCATAACTGAAACACTCTTTTGCAGCTCAGGAAGAGTGTGTCTGTCAGTCATATGTGAAACAGTCTGCAATCTCAAAGAAATGACAACAGCTGTTTCCAGACAGCTCTGAGAAAAACCGTATCATACTACTGGTAAAGTAGTACAGAACTAGGTTGTGAAAAGCCTGGGTTACTATAAGCTAACTCTGGAATGTGCTTTCGACCTAGCAAACTCCACATGAGTCCTTTTAACCTTCTAAAAAGGATCTGTCTTCCTCCACTTGATGAAATTACTATCGTTCCCTTTGGGTTATTCTCTTGGAGGAAAAACATATTATTTTTTAAAATTCCAAATCATGTTCCTTTTTGGATTTGTGATTTCCAACTAAAATCCACAACATCAATTAGCTTCCACTCAGCTCTATTCTTTACAGAAGCCTTCTTCAGTGAGGACTGAATTCAAAGATGTTCTTGCAGAAGAGCTATCATAGTGACAGTTAAAATATTGCTAAGACAATTATACTATTACAAATTCCAAAAATTATCTTTCAATATATGTATGTTTATGATCAGTGTACATATCTTTCATGCCCCTTCTCTAATAAAAATTTAACAACTCACAATAAGCAGTTTCATATCCCTGTCTGAACAGCAAAATATTGTACTACTACAAACAAACTAAAAGAAAAGTCTCAAATGGTGTCTGTATATTCCTTAGACACAAGGTTTCAGGAAGGAAACTGATTTCCTCATCCTGTTAGTATTCATAAACTGCCAAGATATCAGCCGGATGAACTCTTCCCACACTGAGGGGTTACAGTTGCTTTTTATGTTATTAAGCAATAAACCAGTGTATTCTCTGCACAATTAAGACCATTAGGTTGACACACCGAAATACCAAAAACTGTTCCTCCTCTAAACAGGAGAAAGAACTCCTTCACACACCTAATATCAAAGTACTGGGTTGCTATTGTTCAGCTGCTGAAAGGTAATGCACTTACAGAACAGCATTCAAGCAGCTTTTCCCTCATTCAAGCTGGAAATGTTTACTGCCAATACTGAAGTGTGCTCTTCAACTTGCTCACCGGACTCTTTGTTTCTACTCGATGCATTAAAACAAGATGGCCACATATAAACTCAACCCCATGGGAGAACAATTCTTCAGCTGTAGATGAACAAAAATTGCTGTACATGGAATCTAATTTTACTTTAATTATACTTACAATTTGCACATTACATCAGAATCATCCCTGGGATATCAGACTGCAGTTCTAAGTTTGCAGTTTATCAACAAGCAAACAAAGAAAACATAGTGGACTGAAAAGCTAAAATTTCAAATGAACTTGGACGAAACGCTTGAAAAGCAGGATGGCATTATTACAATCAAATTTACTTAGATCACTGATGCTAGTCATTACTTAAAATGTCAAGTAAAGCATCTTTAATTAACACCCTAAAATAATCTTCGCAATTTTCATAATATTTTCTTTAGTTGGTAATCATTAAGGTCAACTGATTTGCAGTTAAATCTATATGTAAAGAATATTTTTGCTAACCAAGATAATAACTGCATACTTATTTATATACTTAGCCAAGTTTTAATTTTTACAAGCTGTTGTATTAGAAAACACTGATTTACTTTTTTTTTTTTTTACATTTTATTGTGATTTATGTCAAATAGCTTTTAGATTGAAATGGTATTAAATTATCCAGCATTTTGTGCTGTTTAAATATAAATGCATTCAGAATGCAAATATGTAAGAAAATGTGTTTGATACTTCAAATTTATTGTATCATATTTTGCAGTTAAGCATTATTTTTTGAGCAAAAGAAAAATCTTTTATGTAATTACTGAATAAAAGTAAAAGTATCAGATATTTTTGACATCAGATCCTTCAAGATTTTAATATTTACAGATGATAGCCTCTTTTGCCTAGCTTTCTACTCCAAAACTAGGAAAGGAAAAACACAGTGGTTAATTTCTTTCAATTTCCAGAATACCTGTCATTTAAATTGAAATATTATTGTTTGCACCTGTGGAACAGATTCCAGTTGTCAAAAGTAATTTTATTACCTCCACACAGTCTCATTCCAGGTGCTTAGCCAGAAAGTTCTAGAGTTTTGTGGTTTAATTGTCTTCAAATCTTTGGCAGAATTAATATAATAAAATACATTAAATCAGGGTTTTATTGTAGGTTGTCATTATTTCACATTTAGTTTTAAATTCTACTGTATTTTCTTCTTAAATGTATCTTGGCCATAATCATTGATCAGAAAAGCATAAAAGGAGAGATTACAATGCAACTGTGGAAGTATTATTAATTCTGTGAAGTACAACAAAACCAGTAAAAATTATCAAGAATGCTCTTCTCTAAGACTGCAGTAAATGAGTGTTAAGCTTATCTCACTATGTACTCAACACTTTCTAATGAGAAACACCAATAAGAAAGGAAAATCCTTTTTATTCAAAAAACAAGCTTGAATACACAAGGAAGTGTAACGTGGTTCAGAGTTAAGACAAGTCAATGTTCCTACCAGCATTCCTATTCAACTGCAAAATTATCTGGTTGATATTAACTAAAGGGCTTCCAAATTTCCCGGTTTCATTTTCCCCCGTAGAAAGAAAAATGCTGCTTGTTTTAATCACTAAAATGTAAAGACTGTATACCAGTTATTTTAGAACGAAATATCAATTTTTAATTCTAAATAGTTTGCTTATGTGTTGTTTATTATTGGCATTACAATGGCAAACATAGGCTTCCATCAAAGAGAGGGGGTCCACTGTGATAGGTGCTATTTATAGAGCTAACAATATACAAACTCCTTTTCCTGATTAATTTACAAGACAGGAAGCAGCATTATCCCTACTTTTAGATTCAAAGCCAAGATAAAAAAGGAGAGACTTAATCTGAGTGTGTATGGAGAATTAAAGCACAAAAACCCCTAAAGAGAGTACTTAGAAACCTTAATTTTCATATTGAAATTATTTAAAATAAGAATGCATCATTACCTATACATAAGGTTTAAGAAATTGGTTACATCAGAAGTGCAACAGGACTTGGTTGAATCAGAATGCAATTCAAAACATGAATTTGGGGAATCTTTAAGACTATAGTTGGGCATTTTCCACCAGAAATCCCAATCCCAGGACAGAATGGCTACATGTTGGCTATTTCAACATATAGTCTTCTCACCACAACGCAGCAGTTAAATGTGTATGTTCTCCTAATAAAATTGTTTAATGATTCTGATATAACATAATGATCACCATGACAAAAGGGATTGTGATTTTCAAGTTTAGTAATAAAATTCTTCAGGCAATAATCACCACACGATGTTTTTTATGACTTCTGCACTGAATTACAATGCATAGTCTTTGGATCACACAAGTAAAGTTATATCTTTAAATGCAGACAAAAGCCAAGGAGAGTGTACACTTCCAATTTTATTTAGGCTTCCTTTTCATTCTGATACCACAGAAAATATTTATAATTCTTATTCTCCAGTGATTTGAGTAGTAAGAAAAGACTCCCTTATCTAATATTCAAAATGTTATAGGATTAAGCTTTATGTTTGACAAATTGTTAATTAAGACATCCTAGTATTCTTTGTCATTTTATCAACCATATTTGATAATTCTGCATTCCTTAACACATTCAAGTTCAATTCAAATTCAGAAGGCACTGTATATATAAGCAATTATGCTGGATCTCTTCCTCCTCCATCTCAACCAGTGTGGAAAACAAAGCCATGCTAATTTTATTTAGCAGTATTGGTACTTTGTAGCATAAGAGAACATTGACCAGAATTAGCTTTCTCCAGATGGATCATGTCTGATGCCACTCTTTTCTAAACACTTAAGCCTCTATTAAGACATTTTAAAACCACTGGAAATGAAAACACACACACAAAAAACCTCAACCCACTTTCCCTAATAAATCCTGTTGTTTCCATAGTCTCTGCGTCTGTGTTATTGCTCTGAAAAAGAACAGTCTTTCCTTGGCAATCAACATTATTATAGGGCCATGCACAACACTGAAATATAATCAGTTTAGTAACACTACTTTGTAAACACTTGAATGCACAATGTTTCAGGATGACTGTTGAAAATAAAACCATTAAAACAGCATCCAAAAGCTAACATTAGGTCCAAAACCACATAGCAATTTGTGGCCAGCCATAATGCAGAAGAATATAGTCCTATCTTCCCACATACATCTTGGGACTTTTCCCAGTAAATCTTAAAAGCAACTGCTGAACTCTGGCATGCACGTCCCTTATTTCACAGGCTTTAACTGTAGCAGCACCACACAACTTAGCCCACTTGGTATTCAGACCTGTACAACCGTGACAGATCTTAAAAAAGATGTCCTGTCTACCATTCCCATTCTTCACAAGAGGTTAATTTGCAGTATAACATCCCTCAGTCTCTGCAGCATTCTACAAGAGAGGGTTTTTATTGAGCACTCCTTTAGTCTTTTTAGCATACAGCCCTCTGACATGGTTCTCTTTGCCTGAATTCCTGAAAGAAAATATTTGTAGTCCAAAGATTCTGAAACAGTTGTTTGAAAAAGGACTGTTTCTGTCCTGGTGTTCAGCTCCTAATAATGCCATTCATATTCAGGAGCAGCTAGCAGTTGACATATAAATTCCTCAGTCCTGTCCTGAATTTTTTTTTCCTTCTCCCTTTCTCTGCCTTTCAAGGTTTCAAGAAATCAACCTTTGTATGTGAGAGGATGGAAACTAAAGGCAGAAAAGAGAGATCTGAGACTGCCACAAGTTCCAAGTTTGTTTAGGAATTATGACAGAAAGTGACAAGATAAATGAAGAATTCAGGGATAAGTGACTCGTGTACTAACTTAAAGACATTTTTACAAACTGTTTGTCTTTTCTCCTGGAACATCACTATAAAGTTTATTTCTATAAATACCTTTCCACATCTCTGATGCAATGTGTGGAGCCATAGGTGCAACCATAATGCAGAGGGAAGCCAAGGCATCTTCAAATTCTGTGCTATGGAGAATAAGAGGCCGAGGAGCTTGCTAAGTGAAAAGACAAGGAAAAGAAAACAAATTGTTAACATTCTGAGGTGGAGGGGAAAGCAGTTTAATTAAGAAGAAAATGCAGTAATAAAACGTAAAATCAATGTCTTGCTTAGGACAGTGTCACGTCACAATAAATTGGAAACTTATGAAAAGTTCTGGAGAATTAAAATCACAATCCTTGGTGCTCTCTAACACTTAGAAGGTAATCCTGAAGTGGCTGATGAAGACTCTTGGGGATCTGCTCTAGCACAGGAGTCTGAACACAGACTCATGTGGACAACAGTGGTCCTCAAAATCATTTTGAGGGCTTCCATTTCTAGAAATGTAATCTTAGATAAAATCAGAGCTATCTGAGAAGAGGTGTAGTACTTGTATAAGACAGTCAAACAGTGCTGGATGCAGCATGGGTTTTGTTGGGATAAGGTTCAGTTGTACAGAATCACAGAGCAGCTTAAGTAAAGATGAATTTAGTGACAAAGTGAGGTTTTAGAGCTGAAGGAAGCCTAGGGAATGAAAAGCACAGCACATTCTTTTACTGCTTGATGTTCTGATTGTTTTAGTAAAGCATTCTTCTCTAGTACAAAAAATGTTCAATTTCTTGCAAAAGGTACAAGACTGACAAAATTTGAATCTTCATTCCTCTACTGTAAGTTCAAAGAAAAGATACAGCACTAAAAGTGGTTGGATGAACTTTTTCTTTCCTTGTGTGAGATTACATCCCATGGTAAATTCAGCTGCTGCATTTATTTTGTAATCCACCCCTCTAATGAAACGGCACAGAAAAATGTCAGTACATGTCAGCTTATGAGAATTATTTGGTGGGAGAGCACCCACTCCTGTCTACTAGAAAATTGTCCAAAACCAGTGATTTGCTTGACACAGACCACAAATGTTGTCAGAGGGCATCTTCTTATCACTGATACTAACAAGGTGAGTGCAAACTGTATTTCAGTAAGCTACTATCTGCTTTCTGTGTTTAATCCTTGCCCACTTCCCCCCTTCCTCCTTTCAACTGAGAGTGAAAGAGCAAGTGTCAGTATGCTATACAGAGGGTTGTTCTTCAAAGATACTGCATTGACTTCTTTGGTCAAGAAATATGTCAGTGTTTAAACATCTGGTTGTCTGTAGGACACCAATCTTTGTTTATGTAATTTAAAAAAAAAAACACAAGAGTATCTGAGGCTTAAGTTATCTCAGTACAGCACTTGTGCATAATCTACTTAACTTTTTGTTTAGTTCCTTGATTTTGTCAATAATCTCCTTGGAAACCATACGGTATAAAATGCTATTTCTATAAAGAAGTTGAAACTTTCAAAATTATATTTAATTTCTAGTCTAGATCAGGTTGCCATTATATGCTTGAAGGATTGCTCAACCAGATCTAAAAGTAGTAACAAAAGTAATGATAATAGTTTATTACATTTCATATATCACCACTGGCTGATCTACAACATAATCTAAATAAAAAATGCTGGAGACTTTTACATCTGTTTAAAAAAGAAGGATTTGCAAACTCTCTTACTTGCCAACAGTTCAGTGGTGTAAGATGTCTTTGAGGAATGTAAAATTATGTGTGATTTTCCTTCCAAAGAATAACCCTTTTAAAATCAGAATGTCTGGTGATTCTATAACATCCTATACCTAGCTACCTATGCATCTAGAACAGAACTAAACAAAATATATCCTTTTGAAATTACAGGATGCATATGCAAACCTCAGAATCTAGTGGCTCTAATATCATCAAGCTCCTCCTGCAAAAGTGTATATATTTCAGGGTTACAGTGATATTAGAACGTGCTGCTTTTGAACTGAATGATTCAACAAGGCTCTCGACTCAGTAACACTGTTTATGACAGTCAATGATTTACAGAAAGCTGGACCTATAGTTCAGGAGGCTCCTGCTTTGTATAAAGCCTAATAGGAAGAGGGTCTGAGAGAAAAATACCTTCATGAATACCACGTACTTACATGGAGTATATTAGTGAGGCTCATCAATCGGGAAATAGCTGCATTGAACAAATGGTCCTTTGTGAAGTACTTGGTTACCTTGAATTAGAAGAAAAGGTCTGTCACTAATTACTTGACATTCTAAAACATGGAATATTGGCTTTTTAAATGAAAAAGTATTATTGATAATCAATCTCAACTTGTGAAATATGTGCATATTACCTCTTACATGAAAATCACTTTAGTTCGCAAACACATCGTATGTGCAATCACACACGTGTTTGGGAAAATAAATCATATAAAAATTGAACTGAGCTTCTCCTCAGTTTCAGAATTTTAAAAGCTTCAATCAATGCTAATGAGAACTGTGCATTAGCAATCATCCTTTATTTCCTTTAATAAAATAGTCTCCCTTTGCCCCTACAAGAGGCCTTCATTCTTGTAAATCCATTTATGCTGGTCAAAGCTTGTTCATAGATTGCAAGATTATAATTCTAAAGTCTGCTAAAAGATCTGGAAGGTCTCTCACAACAGGGTTTAAACTGGCAAAAGTTTTTATCCACAGAAGAATCTTTTAAGCTAATTTTGCAGGTATTTAAGTCTCCTTCTGAGTCTTGGATAATTGAATTGACACTAATCACAGCAGGAGACAACAGAGAAGTAGAGATAAACAATCATTTCAGTATTTTTTTTAGGATACCCTAATATATTTTCACCAAATAATTCTATATGGAACAGCAGGCATGATAATGAGGTATGAAGCAAACAGATAAAAAGCTTTCCTTAGGGATAACCTCCAGCACTCACCTACAGTTTTGCTACTGGAAATGGAGTTTCTTGAATCCCAGATTGATAACATTTTACTGCTGTAACATTTCATCCCTTAAATGAGATGCACATCCTTTAAATAAGTTCTGTCACATAGAATTTGTGGGTAAATAAATTTATACAGAGAATAATTCACTTAAAAATAATGAACTACTCATCTGGGGAAAAAGTTTTTGGCTCTGTAAGTCAAACATATGGTTTTAGCATAAGCAGTAACTTATTTGTTCAGTTACAAACTATGTAAGTGTTTCTTTTAACCTCAGATATCACCAGATTCTTCTGCTTCCAGATATTTCTTGCTTCAGCCTTCTCTTTCTTACTCAGAAGCTCAGGATTGGGCATGGTTCCTGAAGTCCTTGCTTCAATAACTTTGGTTACAAGTGCCCAGAGGCGCGTCTGCCATCTCTGAACGCCTGGCATAGCATCAGCTGAGATTAATGAAAGATTTCAGAAACAAATTTCAGTTACAGTTAATGAATCCAAAACTTTAAAGAAAAGCAGAAAGGACAAAAACCGCTAAACATTTTTTTTTAAAAAACCCTGTATTTTAAATGAAAGATGTCAATGCAATTAAAAATGCCTTTACAAGTAATTCCGGGTTGCTTTAATGGAATAAAATCAATAAGATAAAAGTATTTTTCTGCAATGACTTTAAAATATATATATAGCAAGAACATAGCATATATAGCAGAAGAATTTGCTAAAATCTGTAAAATAACCCAACATTATGTCAGTGTTAAAATGCTCATCTTGTGTTTTAATGACTCAACAAACGAGTTGTACATGCTCTCATTTTTTGAAGTCATGGAAGAATACAAATATATATATATATATACACACACATGTACTTTTCAAATTGAGAAATTTCTTTTAAAATTTGATTTTAGAAATCACATATGCTTTTGTTGCTACAGAGATCCTATTCTGCTAATGAGTAGAGTAGGATCCTTGGTACCACCTTTGGACACAGGTTAGTTTGGGATGTGGAGACTATAAAGCTGTTCACCATGACCCTAAAGGCATCAGTCCCACTCTGTGGCTGCTCTAAGAATGTGTTTCTGTGACCTCAGGATCGTGCTACAGAGAGGCCCCAAGCTACTGCTGCACACAGCCATGTCCTCCATGTGGTGTGATGCAGAGACACTAGTGAAGGTATGCTTGAGGTGTGCCCTTTCTTCCAGATGTTCCGTGTTTCTACTGGACTGTGCAGCACTACATCACACCGCATGCACGGTATCAACATGTCACAGTTTCAACATATCCTGTGATGTCCCAGCCAGCAAGAGCTTCCAATTCTGCTCTGGCAACTGCACTTGAGAACTGCCTGGACTACTACTAAACCGGGAGAAGTAAAAGACATGGAAGTGGCTGCAATACATGTGAATTATCTGTCTGACTGCACTAGATGGAAGACTTCCTGCACATCTGGGAACAGTAAAGCTGATTGACTATGTCCGCATGATCTTCATGAATTCTCATAGGTGGGACTGGGATAATTATGCTGTCCCCAATCTTCCCATCTCCTAGTCATACCAGAAGGCTATAGATCATCTAGACATGATAGGCTTGGAATTATCCAGACTGTAGTAATGGTGTAATAAGCTGCTGGGTAAGTTTGACCACATCTGGACCTGCAAAGTCTGGGAGACTTCTTTGCCCACACCAAGGCAGAGAATGACATGAGACCATGCTTTGACATTCACCACTGAAAGGACAAGGAATTCAGTCCAAAGGGCAATCATCAAAAGGCTATCAAAATACATCCAGTGAAGAGAGGGATCACAACAACTGAGAACCAGTGTTTAATATTCTCTGAATTAGACAATTTTCTGTATTGGGTTTGTGTGGCAAGGTTTTGGTAGTGAGGGGCCACAGGAGTGGCTTCTCTGATAAGCTGCTACAAGCTTCCCCCATGCCCAACAGAGCAAATGAAGCTGAGCCCAGGAAGAAGGGAAGGGTAGGGGGAAGGTGTTTATTTCTCATTAATTTTAATTTGTAAGAAATTAAACTAATTTCTCAGTCGAGTCTTTCTTCCCATGATGGCAACTGCTGAGTGATCTCCTTGTCCTTATCTGAACGCATGAGCCTTTTTTTGTACTTTTCTCCCTCCCTCTGTCCATTTGAAAAGTGCAAAGTGATAGAGCAGCTTGGTGGGCATCTGACAACCAGCCCAAGGTCAAACCCAACACAACTTGCTTGATTTCTTCAATTCAAACATTCACAATTTTGTTATCATTAAGAAATTTAGACCAAAGCTTAAACATTTAAGACATGCTTTTCATCTACTTTTGATTTTCTTCTCCCCTGGAAATATCTTGATGCTGCTAAAATCTCCTTTTGCTCACATTTTCCAATACTCTCAACATGACATGACTCCGAAATCTTTCTTTGTATTTCTCAAGTGGTAAACAGGTTGGTTTGAATGACTAAAGGCATTTTTGGTAGCATTATACCTGCACGTGTTCAGCTTTCTTAAAAAATGCATAACCACCAACCACTTTGCAACTAGGATTTTCTACACGCTACTCTCTCAATAACATAATTACTCCATTTTCAAGATCCAAAAATTCAGCAAAAAGATTGTGCATCACTGAATTAGCTGCTTCAGCTGTGTACTGTCAGGGATGCAGCTGTTGAAGCTTGATTCTAAGTGGTTAATTCTTTTTAAGAGACCTTTTCATATGCCTAGCTCTCTACTGTTGCGATTAGATAGTGACAGAAAGCCAACTAATAAGTCAAAGCCCACTCCTCCAGTACATACAATAGAGCAATAATATATAAATGAACATACATGAATGTAAAGGGTGACAGACACCAACTGAAATAATGCTTAGTGCAGGCTGAACTAAGTAGCAAGAAGTTAACACACAAAAGAATAAAGAACTACAACTTTTTAAACCAGGTGTTAAACCAGGAGTGTTTTATTAAAGCCTTATGCAACAAGAAAGCTAGATTTAAATGAATACATAAGACTACATTAAAATGCATGAACCACAGTAGATAAAAGAAATTAAGACCTGTCAGTATGATGAATTGCATGATAGCAGTAAATAAGTGCATAGGAGGGCAATTCTTAACTTACTCAAGAAATAATCCCATAAAAATGCCACGTCTACAAATACTAGTTACTAGGAACTCTGATTATGTTCTAATGAGATTCTTCTGAGAACTATTTCATAGTCCAGTTTACAAAAGTCATTGCATGTGTATAAATAAATGGAAATAACAAAATATTGTAAAGTTTTATCTGTAATCTGATATGATTAGAAAAAGCTTTTCAGTTGATCAGTCATCGCTAATTTAAAAAAAAAGAGAATGAAGCCCAAGATTGCAGAAGAAAATACCACTTAAATACTTTTCATATAATGCTTTTAGCTTATAAGAGGTAAGCTGCTTGAAATGATCTTGCAAGCCTGCCTCTCAGTGACAGTTTTGTGACCCCCTCTCTTTTAAAAGAAACAAGCAATAAAATTTGTTTATTATACTTTTTTGATTAATTTGTTCCAAAACCTGGGCATCAAGAATTGTATTAATTTTGTGTTTAAAATATAACACGCTAGGAAAAAACAAACAAACCACAACAAACCAAACAACGGAAACAATCCAACTTACTTTTAGCATCCCACAAAATATCTTGTTCTGGAGGAGCAGCAAACAGAATGTAAAGACGTAGGGTGTCAATGCCATACTCTTTCACTAATTTTTCAGGGTCTATTCCATTGTACTTAGATTTGCTCATTTTTTCCCAAGTAACTTGGAGCTTCTCACCAGTTTTTAGGTGAACTGGTTCAGTTCCTAAATATTAAGACATAAAAAAAATATTAAACCAAATTTTTCTTACTTATAACAGCAATTAATTTTGTTCCCTAAGCATAAGAAGAGACAACTATTTCTTGTGTGTTTTTTTTCCCCAAAAACAGCTTAAAGAGGAAAGACACCCATTCTAAACACTCTCTTCCTTCCCATGTTTTTCCTACAGTAATGTTTTAACAAGAGTAATATCTCAATGCTTCCATCACATTATGACAAAAATTCTCGTAGCATTGGAAGCTGTATCTAGCACTCATCCTGTGTGCTACCTTGAGAACCCCTGAGATTTAAGCATTGTTATAATCATGACATTTAAAACTTCCTAGATAGGTGTACTGATTTGGTACAATTCTGACTTGCATTTAGCTTTTACAAATACCAGATTTACAGGTTTCAGTTGCAGTAAGTTATCCTGAAAAGAATGTGCCCTCTGTTGCATGAATTCCGAGAAAGAATGGGGCATTTACACTGAAAAAGGTGCAACTGAGCAAAACCATCTACTACAGAAAAGCCCTATCTTTTCTGGAAGAAAACAGGATAGCAGGCAGTGGAAAAACGGAAGAGGGTTGTTTGGTTTCTTGTTTTTTAACTGACTTACAGGGTTTGTATGCAGGAGAAGAACAGTAAAAGCAAGGTTGCACAACAGGAGTGCTTAAGGAAAGTGTATATGACCAAACCACTTTTGTTGCTACAGGTCCCATAGCCAGGACTTGGTGGTCCAGCTTATGCAGCGAAGGCTCTAGAAAGCACTTGAGAAACAGCATTGTTTCCTACACCCTTTACAAGCCTAATATCTACTGCATCTGTGTTAGCTTTGCCATGATGTTTTTGTAGGCTGTCTGTTTACTGGGACTACAGGCTCCATTCAGCAAGCTGCTGAGACTTTGATCTTTCGGGCTATACTGGAGCTAAAATAATAACATAGCACTGTTTCTGTGTTTGGATGCAATTAAAAGCTGCTGGATTAGTAGGATCTCTGTGCACTCAGCAGCGCATATGAATCCAAAACTCACAGAAGTTGCTCACAAATTTAAATATTACAAGGATTCATTTTCTCTTTCAAATTTTCCCAGCACTAAGACCTGTACACTGAAGAAGTCCCTGGATGCACCTATGTCGATTTTCCCATGTAGTTTCTCTTACCAGTGAGATCAACCTCCTCTCTCTTCAAACACTGGCCTGTTGTTGTTAGTCTGAATGTCTGATTCTTGATAAGACCTTGAACCAAGAGCTTATGGAAAGGCTCCCTAGGGGTGGAAGGAAAAAGAAACTCTTAAAAAGAGCTGTCAAGAGCATACTTTATGATAAGCCTCAGGTGTCGAGCCAATCAGGCACAAGTATTTAATGAAACAAGAATTTCAAGCTGACTATCATAAACAGTTGCCACCTTAGAAAGAGTACTTTGTGCATTTATTCATGGTGGCTGGCTGGCAAGTATAAGTATTTATTTGCATTCCACACACATTCTTGCACCCTGATTTAGTACTAAGTTATTCTAATGTCACTTTTCAAATTAGCATATGGATAATGCACAGAAATTTCTTGGCCAACTGTGCAATTTCCCTAACTTCAAGCTAAATCACTTGCATAAAAGCATTCAAGTACCTGGCCTCACTGTCTTACAAATATTTAGTTCTTGCTTCTCTCTGAGGAGCACAGCATTTTGAACAAATCAAAATGTTGCTCCACATTTCTTTCTATAGAGATAAGATCGTTTCTCTAACATAAGCACTTGCATGCCTTGTCCCATCGCAGAACTAGCCACGAAGGCCTAGCTGTACAAAAAAAATACACTAGAAAAAGTGTATGCAATGCTGGAAAGTTTGTATGTCAGTGCATCAATTTTTTAGCACCTTGAATGTTGCAACTTTACTTTTCTAGCAAAATACATCAGGAAGAGTAAACTGTCACCAAATGCACGTATGAAAGAAAGAGCCTTGAAGGGAAATATTGCACTCAGCAAGAAATAAACTCTAAGTAAACACTGCTCTGGTTGACAGATATGTTATAGCAGCCACCTCCTTTAATGACCTTGCATTTCTAATGCATTAAGTCAGAAGTCTGCCCCTGTTTTCACAGAAAAAGACACAACAAAATTAATCTCTAGAGCTTTTGGTCCCCTCTCAATAATCCAGGAAAGTAAGGCAGTTCTAACAGCAGCCTCAAGAACAGCAGGGGTCAGGGAGGAGGTATGGAGCCAGTCCCAGAAGGCACACACAGTGTGGGAGCCTTCTCATGGGATCCTCCAGCACAGAGACATCAGTGACCATCATTCTGGAGGACACGTTAATCAGCACTGGGTACTACTGACTTGCACCTCCTAATGCTCACATGTGTGCTCAACTTTAAGCAGTCTGAATTCTCCACACTTGCACCTAACAAAGCCTCAAATATGTACAAAACAACTTATGTAAAAAGGATGTATCACTATTTCCTAGCTTTTAAAAAGTTAGAATAAATCCCCCTAAAGAAAAAATAGTAAAAGCAGACTTCCACATTTTACTTCACATGTACAAAAAAGTCATAATCCAAAACACTACTCACTTTTAAGGAGTTAATTTAGTATTTTACATTATTAGGATATACAAATTATATGACAATTTATCTCATGACTTAAAACACAATAATTTATTTAATAATACAGTTAAAGCATTAATAAATTATATAACAATCATGAATGTTTTCACCATATTAAAGCAGATATCTTCCAAGTATTAGTTATTAAACCCTTTTGATGACGCTGATGTAAGGATATATCTGAAAACAAAACCTTAAATTGGGAGAGAGAAAGTGATAGGCTTCATATTTTACCTTCAAAATATTCATGTTTGAACATGAGTTACCTTCCTTGTGCAAGTACTGGTACATATTGATGTATCATTCAGTCACAAAGAAGTATGAGTCTCTGCCATGCCGCCTGGTTTTATCAACAATGTTAAGTAAGAGCAGCAATTCAAACATCTCTTACAAATATTTTCTAGACAACATTTCACATTTTGCCTGAAAAATCTTGCTGTTTAGAAACAAAGTAAAGGAACTTTAGGAGATGAGAACTGGAGTCAAATTTAGACAGTACAAACAAAAAAAAAGTATTTTAAAAATAGGATACAAAAATCAACTAAAATTTCAAAAAATTATCACAGAATTAGAAGGTGAAAATTTGGAGCAAAAACTTTGTAATTCTATGAACAATAAGGGTGGGAAGTTGCTCCAGGAGATAACAGTTCAGGATAAGTTTTTTCTACAAACTAAAGACATTACACCAAAGAAAAATAAAAATAATTTCCCTCTCTGTCATTCAGTACTTCAATCTGTTTAAGATCTCAAACAGTTATTAAAATAGCTACACTTCCTGCTATCTAAAATAAAGCTAATGAGGTAGCCACACCATCCAAATCAGATAGGGCTTTCCACTGGAAGTGATTTTTCAAGGAACACTTTAATGACAAAGAGTTAGTTCAGATCATATGCCAAGTTATTAAAAGTTGAAAGCAGGAATGAGCATTTCTTATTTTTGTTTATGCTGAGAGAGAGTACAAAAATGCAATACAAAATACATTACCATGTATGGGGAACTCCCCCACCCCACATGTTCCTAGTGGGAGACCACAGGAGAATGGAGACATGCCCAAAATGAGAAAGCCAGAGCCCGTTTAATAAACACAGGGCTCAGAAACAAGTCCTTCACTGAATGTCTCCCGAAATGCACAGTGATTTTGCCAGTGTTGTGGTGGCTCCATCTCATGTTCACATGCAGAGCTACACTTGGATTTACATGGATAAAACCGCACACCTCAAACCTTCCCCTCTGAAGACAGCAATGCGCTGCTTGGTTGCGGAAGGGAACTGCCAAGGGGCCACAGCACAGTAGGTGTGATGAAATTCTGATCTAAATACTGCAGCACCCAGTCATGGCATCATAAATACCTCCTGATCTAAACCACTGTGAACAAAGGAAATTAAGCCATCTTCAGACACACTGACATTACTGGCACAGGAAACGAAGAGGTGTCTGGAGTTTCTTTGAATGCTTAATCGCATTTCAGATTGTAAGTATGCTGGAATGGCATAAGCCTTCACCAGTCCGTGAAGTTGGTTTGTGCTCAGGCACTGAGACCTTGCTCGTGTGCAGCTTTTGATCATGTTGTATGTCCCACCTGTGAAGTCTGTCTGACACCTCTAAGAAGGATCAGCTGTGCTTGCCATGAAGTGTGTAATCCATCTTTTCCCTTTCTGTACTGTTCATGTACAAGTTCATCTCTGTGACAGACTCATCTCTATATACAGGACCCTGCAATGGATAGTAGGGCAAGTATGACTGACAGATCAGGAATTCCTGCTCAGTGCCGTGTCCTCAATGCTCTTTGCTTCGCTCTGTGCAAGGTGAGCAGAACTTTCAATACAACTACAAATGACCTGGCTGGAAGGACTCTGTGGAACCTGCCACAGTTATAAATAGTGGATTCAGAAGAAGGGATAGCCCTAGCAAGGGCTCCCTGCATGTATTTGCACCGTGCACCTTTAGAAAGGCTGAGAGAGCCTGATGCTGTGCCCTGGAGTAAAGACAAGACCTTGGTCAGTTACTATCAGCTGAGTTCACGGGGTTGTGAAACCTGCTGTTAGATCTAGCTGGAACAACCCAGCAACCTTGTGAAAGTGATTGGAGAATGCGGAAGCTGACCATTTTATGCAGAAAAAGGATGATACAATATTGAATATTCAAGAGTCTACACAGTCAACAGCTGAGTGCTTTTACTTAAAATCAGCACTAGTGATAAGGTCCCAAATGAATGCAGAGCAGCTCTAACATCCTTCCTTCACAGAATAAGCTATTTCTGTCACACGCATAGCTTCTTTTATTCCGTAATGCATTATATGAAAAGAGTGCCTTCTTACTCAGCAGATTTGCTCTCTATCACGGTCAAATCTGCTGACTTAATGGCAACAATAAACTTTTTTGGAATCCTTCAGGGAGAATGTGCTAGATTCCATTTCCAACTTACGCTTCAGTCAGAACTGATTACTGAAGTCTAGGTGTAGTGGTTTGAACCTTGTTTTCCCCAGAAGCTAACAGAAGTGGTAGACCCCAAGGGGTGGAAACCCCTGGAAGTTTTGAAGTTCTGCCCAATGGGCGCTCCTGCAGAAATGTAAACATACCACAACCAGACCGGAAAAGAAGAGTTGTGGTTTTGGGTTGTTGAGGAGGGGTAGCCATGTTGTGAGCCACGAGGAAGGGGCTCTAAGCCCCTCGGGCCCTTTGGGCCCTCCCAGCCCCGGGCTGGGGGGGGCTGCAGGGACCTGGAACAGCATAAAGCTGGGCTAGGTGCCTGTAGTTATGCCGGGAGATGTTTTCTCCATGGGCGCAGAGCAGCAGCCGACACTGACCAGAGAAACAGTGGCAGAGAGCCAGAGATAAGAACCTGAACTGAAGAAGCAGCAGAAGCAACATGCAGCACTGCAGAGGAGACTCCTGGAAGGAGAGTTGAGGAAAGGAGAGCCAGCAGCTGAGAGCTACAGAGTTCTTGGGGGTAAGACTGATACCAGATCCCCAAAACTCCTTTGAGACCTCCTGGAAGGAGGAAGATGATGGACTCTTACTTGAAATAGCCTTGAAGTGCGACATGCACTGTAGAAAGGAGCTAGAGAGCTCCGAGAGGAATGCAGGGGGAGTTGACCTTGGCTCTCCCCCCCCTCGCACTGCTGCCACGGTGGCAGCCTGAGAGGCAGGGCACAGAGGCCCTGCAAGAGATACCAGACCGTCACGAAGACCCCCCTGTGTCTTCGTGATATGACGTGGTGAAACGACCTTGTCTGGGGTTACGAAGTCCACGGAAGACCCCTCGGTTGTGAGGCGATGGGGCCAAGAGAGAGGCTTGGATACCTCCCTTGTGGATGCTGGCAGAAATCCAGCTATCAGCTGCTGCATGCATGAGAAGAAGAAACCTGCTGCCTTAGAAGATGCTGCTGTTCAGAGACTGGAAGGGATCTGTCCTTCTTTCCCTCCTGGACTTTTATTTGGAGGGGAGAAGAGATCTGATCCATTGTAAATACTATATGTCATGGTAGAGATAGTTTGTGATCATATGTATAATGTGATATGGTATTTATTTGTACAGTCATTGTAATATATTTCCCTTTCCCCACTTTGAGTCTGGTGTGTTTTGTCTGGAAAAACCCATCTCACATTAGGTTGAGATGTGGGAGGGGGAATGGAGATAGGGAATTGGATGTTGGGGCTATCTCAAACCATGACACTAGGGAAGGACCAGATTCTGCGTAACTCGTACTTGCAGTAATACAGTTGAGCAGGTGTAACCAAGTATGTCAGCACACACTCACCATGGTGGATTAAGCTGGAACAGATGAGGAGTTTGCTGGCCCCAGCTGCTTACCTGGGCCCTCTCCCCGTGGTGGTCACAGCTGGGAGGGCTCACTGGCTTGTGAATTAATTATAGAACCAATGCACTTTACAGACCAGATTGCTAAATCAAATTGACATCAATTTGGGCTTAATCTGAGATCACATGTACGAATACCCAGAGGGTGCCATTTATTCTGCCTTGTCATTACTGAGGAAATGAGGAACGGTTTCCACCATCTTCAGTCCAATGCTTTAAAAAATAAAATAAAAGATTGTGCCTCATCTTCAGGGGATATTTAAGCTATATTGACACCTGTACAATTTTAAATGCTTACAAACACTTTAATTTTAATAAAGCATGTGTGATGTCTGTAAATGCCTGTTATTATACACACTGCCTGAAATATTTCTACAATAATAATCATTGCACCATATTTGAAGAGATTCCTTTGAAAATCTATACTATGGATTTTTAATATCTGTTTGCAACCACATTATTATATTAATAACCATTAATACAGAATTAAAGACTAGCAGGAAATATTTCAATGGATTTGAAAGTCAGAGGATAGGAGCCTAACAATGAAAATTTCCACCAAGAAAACCTATCAAAATGAAAAATTATTACAGAGAAATAGGGGAATCATAAAAATTTGTAAGGATGCTAGATAACACTTTAAACAGTGGCAGCTCTCATTAACTGAGATAAACAGAATTTTCTTAATTTAATCAGTGAACAAGACCTAAGCTAGAGAAAGATTGAAAATGCACTAGGGGGCAGTGTTTTTTAACGTTTTAATGTCTTCCCCCAGAACTGTGGGTTTCGAAACCGAGACTTTGAGCTTCCTAACAATAAGCCTGTTGTTTCTAATCACATTTTTCCAATCTCTGAGGCTAGCCCTTGAGCAGTACAAACAGAAGACTGAGCAAAAGTGGCTTCTGACCAATGCTAAAACATTTAAAATACATGGAAATATTTATAAAGGAGTTATAATTTCCATATCAAAACAAAATCCTAATTTGACTTCACGGCTTCAAAGCACCTAATGCAGTAACATGCATAGAGCTAAAGCACGCAAACAATTTTGTGCATGAGGATGAATTTCTTACAATCATCTTGCAGTCTGAGCACATGTCAAAGCAGTTCATACAACCAACCCGCAGGGCAGTGCTATAACATACATATCTTCACATGTGCCACAGTTCTTCAGATTCTATATGGCGTTAAGGGAATTCTTCATAGTCTTCCAAACTGCTTCTACAGAAAGCAATTTTGATTTTTTTCTGCTATTGTCACTAGATTTTTTTATTGGAAGTTAAGAGTTTTCTTCTGCAATCTACCATATTTAGACCAGCCTATGGTACACACACAGCTTTTGTGCCACTGCTCTGTCACAGCCGAGGGTGAACAAAACACATTCCAAATTAATACAGCTGCAGAATCACAGAGTCCTGAGACTGGAAGTCATTTGGTGCAACTCTTTTCTCACATCACACATAACTTCAGGTTGTTCAGGGTCCCATCTGGCTGAGTTTTAAAAATATCTGATGATGGGAATGCCACAATGTTTCTGGTCAAATCATTCCAGTCTCATCACCTTCATAGTCAAAACTATTTTTCTTCTGTCTAGCTGAACCTCGCTGCAAGCTGTGACTGTTACTCCTGTCCCTTCTCTGTACATCTCTGTACAGAGTCTGATTCTGTCTTAGCTATAAACCTCCTTTGGGTAGCAGTAGACTGAATTACATTCCCTCCTTAGCCTTCTCTTCTCCATGGGGAACACACTCAACTCCCTTAGACTCTCTTTCTCTGACAAATGCTGCACCCCCTGAATATCTTAATGCTCAATCCCCTACATCCAGTTTGACAGTGTCTCTCACACTGGGAAGAGGGAGAGGGGGGGCGCATCAAAACTAGACACAGTATCCTAGACGTGCCTTCCTGAACAATGAGCAGAGATAACCAAACCTGAACATGGTTTTGCTAACGCAGTGGAACAGACTGTCACGCTGACTACTGACTCACATGTAACTTGCTGTTCATCAGGATCCCTAAAGCCCTTCTCTGTTGCAATCCTCCTCACACAGATGGCACAGCCCTAGTTCTGTGGGTAATCTGCTCCATGTCCAATCCAGAACCTTGTCTTTAGATTTCAGACCTGCTTTTCCCCTCATCAAAGTCATCTGCATGGCATGGCTTTTCTCAGTGTGCAGTGATAATGAACTTGTTGAGGGTGAACACTTTATTGCACTGCCAAGGTTGTTGCTGAAGATGTAAAATAATATTGGTGTCAGTGGTGCCTCCTGAGGAATACCACTTGCAAACAGCTAACTTTGAACATTGACCCTTTGAATCTGATGGTCCAAACAGCTTTTTCATCCATACTGCAGTCCACCCACTCAGCCTGTACCTCCCCAGTCAGACTACAAGTATGCCATGGGAGAATTTGTTAAAAGCCTTGTTAAAGTTGTAAAAGATAAGCACAGTTCTCTCCTCATCCACAGAGGGAATCATCTCACCATAGAAGGAAAGCAGATTAAGTTAGGCATAATTTTCTCTTGGTAAATCCATGGTGGCTACTCCCAGTCACCTTGTCATAAACGTGCCTTGAACTTGTATGTGTCTGGTTTACTTAAGTGATCCCTAACTTGATCCTACTTTACAGTGGGTAGTATCTCTCTCCTTCAAACTCTCCTACTAAGCACAGATCTTGACAGGAAATGTCAAGGCAAAGGCTGTCCTTTGCTGCTTAGGCTCTTTGTCTGATTTTGCCTCAGGCCAACATTTTCTTTGACGTTCTCTTCAATGTATCTGTAGAAGTCTTTCTTACTGCCTTCGCATTCTTCACCAGTTTAAATTCTAGACGAGCTACGGCCTTTCCTAATTCAACTTTGTCTGCCTAGTCAATGCTTCCATGTTTCTCCAGTGGTAGCTCATTCTTGCTTCCACTTTCCTTGTGCTGCTTTTGGTTCTTACGGTCATGTGGAGGGTCCCTTTTCAGTCAAGCTGAAAGCCTCCCTGTTTTGTTGCACACCAAAGTGGACCAGTTACTTTGCAAGAACATCTCCCCTGCACTGTAATCTCACTTTATATTGACAATACTTCAGCCACAGCTAATGTCATTTAGAGAGTTGGAAGAATTTGACTAGTAAGAGAACATTTTGCTGCTGTGTGTTACAGCTCCACTAGATGGCTGATGGATTAGGATTGTAAAGTCTTTTGTAGAATTAATAAGCCTAAATTTTCTTGCAAGGGAAAGCTCTGAAATTCTCTGCTTAAAGGAATAGTGCTTCTGAGAGAAAGGGTCCAGTCTGTGAGAGAAGAACTAGCCTTCCTGCTGCAGCTGCACAAGCTGGAGGCAACAGAGGGAACACAAATAGTCTACATCCAAAATTTCAAATACAGTATTTACAGCAAACTGTTTGCAGGCAAGAACGAGTTATGAAAACACATTGTCTACTTTCATCAAGTTATTATGAAATGACTTGGGGAAATATTCTGCTTGGCTCCACTAACTAGTCCATCTGTTTCCGGCTCAAAGCTGCTTAAATTCTAGTTTTGGAGCAAAACTACTGCGTTTGAGTGAGTTCAGTGCCATATATATGTAGGCTCCTCTTTTACATCAAGTTTTTAGAGGGGATATTAGTAAAGAATGAGCTTATATGAGTTGCCAGCTGAGAAATTACTGAGCAGTTCTTCTCATAGGGTCACTCATATTGACTCAATTTATTCAATCCTCTCTTTGTTTGGGAGAACAGGAGAGAGCACGGGGCAGCATTTCATTGTTCTGACACTAGTATCCTCCAAGCTGAGGTATTACTGGGATGACATTTTATGGTACAAAAGGGCAGAATTTCAGTGGAAATGGGGATGTTAAGCTAAGAACCTATCTGAGAGGCCAAAGAACAGAACAACAGATGACTCATCATCCTGCATCAAACTTTACCTCTAAAACAAATTGACAGCAGAAAAACATAGTGCTTTTGCTTATCAAGACACGTTTTACACTGTTCAGCTCCAATACTACAGTGAATTACAGAAGTGCTTAGTTTTCTACATATACATGGTTCCACTGAAATGAATGGTATTACTGGCAGGAAGTTACCTAATTTGAAATAATAGCACTAGTCAGAATCCCTGAAGTTACTAGTTTATGCATGCTTTTGCAGGCTGAAAATCTACACCAGCATTTTATCACTTGCTCTGAGCCAGTTAATACTCTTGCAATAAAAATGTTATGTATGTACACATACGGAAAGTGCAACTGACTATGAGAAAACAAGTACTGACAAAGTAGGAAAATTCAGACTTATTCAATGTAATGTCCTACCATCATAACAATGTTCACTAATACTCTCGCTAGTCAAATGAAATATGGAAGACTTTCACAGAAATATATAAGGCTTACTTGTGTTTTGTCATCTTTAGATCATGGCAAAAATGGCTGAAAAACCTTGCATAGAATAAGTGCATAACCGCATGCTCCTTTCCTCCGATGTACAAATCCACAGGCATCCAGTAGTCTGCCAAGTCACTATTAAAGGGCCTGAAAAAACACAATTACAGAAAAAATACAATGTGGAAAAAAAAGACCAGTGCTACTAAAGTAGCTCATCATACTTGACTGGACAACTCTGTTTACCAAGGGCAATACATGTGTGATAAAACTTTCATTTTGCTATCAGATATTTTTAATGTTTTAAGAAGTGAAATGCTTGTTATAGACAAAAATTTAATTTCCACTGAGATGCAGATCCACAAAGAGACTATTCTCCTATAATTCAGGTGAGCAACTAAGACTTCACATACAGTACCTGAGAAAGTGATAAGAAGATTTGCCTGCTCATTAAACGACTTTTTTTATAAATACCTTGTGGCTAGCTTTAAATTTTCAAGCATTTATCAAGTTTTATATACAAACATATTAGAGTGAAAGACAAAAGGCATGTCCACTCAAGGTTTGCATTGTTACCATTAGGGGGCAATGACGCAGTTTAAGGCTACAGAACCTTCTGTAGAGTCAGAGGTGTCACCGCACTCCAACTGAAGGAAGCTCGATGAAATGACAGTAAATTTGTCATTTACAGCAAATTTACGATGCCGTTGGAGGTCATCTGCATGGTTTCCTAGCATTGCTTACTGCTTCATTACATGTCTCTTGTAATGGGCTCTTGCCTCAAAAATACTATTTGTATAGAAGTTCTTCTTTATGACCAGTTTCTAACAACAAATCTACTTGTTTTGTCAGTCTGTCTAATTATTCCCTCTGTCATTTTTGTAATAGCAACATGTTTTTCCTCACAGATCAGCCCAGAAGCAAATAATGGATCTGGGATTCATGTCTTTAGTGGAACAAATCAAAACTAACTTGTTCATAGGGTTCCAAAATCAGTAGAGTACTTCTTGCGAATTGCAGACCAGTGACCTTTGGCTTATGGCACTGAAGGGTTTACCTGTTGCTAGCTTAGCTACAAAAACTAACTAAATCAACCAACTACAGGTAGGACCTTATTGCAGCAGACCATATAAACATTCTCATTTCAATATAAAACTGATTTAGCTACACTAAGCTGTTACTTTGCCAGCTGAATGTACCATCTGACTATTTCTTCTTCAACTTCTGGAAAAGTTCCTCTTGTCAAACTGTCACTGGAGAGAAAGCAGCCTGCCTAACTCAGTAGTAATAATAATTTATTCATGCTATCTAGAAAATAATTAAAATTAGCATGAAATAACAGTGTTTGCAAAAGATTTTTCTTTAGTTTAACTAAACTAGTGCTGCAAATATAAAAAAAATAATTCGCCCAGCAATACTAAGTCACTGGGTATATGTAGTACGTTCTCAGACACTGCTCTGCACAATAAATAAAAAAACACTTGCCCAAACAGCCCTACATGTGGTATCAATATTTTAAAATGCAAACCTTTTTTGTCTTCCACAGACTACTTAGTAGGGATGTTGCACTAATTACTCTTTGGAAAAAACAGTGCTATCAAGCAGCGCTATTAAAGGCAGACTACGAAGCAGAAAAACAGTTAAATAACTACATCTGCCTTCCCACACTCTCCAGCCACTAGTGCATAGCACATGAAAAACTTCCTTTCATTAATTTTGCATGTAGTGGAAGTGCTGACACACCAGGAGCTTGCTGTGATGCCACTTCACTTGAGGTCTGCGCACAAGGAAGTAGGAAGAGTCACTAGAATTCAAAAGGAGAGAAATGAAGGTGCTGTTCTTGGCAGCTGGATGTTACACTGGACTGGATGTTACACTGGACTATTCCTCTTCTTACCAGTGGAACACCACTGTCTGTCCACACACTGAACTGCTCAGTCCATTGCCAGAGAGGATACACTCTATGCAACTTACCACAGTCTCAGAGAGTCATGGCAGGCCGTCTGTTATTCTTGATGGAACCCTCTGCTAAGGACTGTTTTCAGCTTCTCATCTGAACATTTCCTCTGTGCCCTGCCCCATAATGTGCTTTTGTGCAAACTTCTGCCCCTTGCCCTGTAGCTCCTGTGCTTACACAGTAGTGTCTACACATCCTGTCCTTGTACATCTCCTGGCATGGGAGCAACGAAATGCCACATTTTTAGACCAGCTCCTAGTCTATTGCCCTGTTTTTGGCTGTGATAAAGTTTATTTTCTTCCTACTAAATGATACAGAGCTGTGTTTTGAATTCAGTATGAGAATAATGTTGATAACACAGTGAGGTATTGGTTGTTGCTCAGCAGTGCTTACTCTAAGCCAAGGACTTCTCAGTGTCCCATGCTCTACCAGTGAGCAGGTGGCAAAAGAAGCTGGGAGGAACCATGGCCAGGACAGCTAACCTGAACTGGCCAAAGGGATATTCCATACCATAGGCTGTCATGCCTAGTACATAAACTGGGGGAGTTGGCTGGGAGGCACCGGTCGCTGCTTGTGGAAGGGCTGGGCATCAGTCAGCAGGTGGTGAGCAGTTGTATTGCGCATCACTTGTTTTTCTTGAGTTTTCTCTCTCTCTCCCTATCCTTTCTATTACAATATTTTACTTTGTTTCAATTACTAAACTGTTCTTATCCCAGCCCACAGGGAGCTGATTTCTCCTCCTGATTCCTCCCCAGCCCACAGGGAGTGGAGGGCGAGTGTGCCAGCAGCTGTGTGGCACTTAGATGCCAGCTGGGGTTAAGCCACAACATCTCCCCTGTGCGGTGCTCAAGCCAGGGGGCAGGCACACAATGAGAGCAGTGTGAGAGTTTACACCATCGTCTGTAAAGGCAGTTAGAAGCTGGAAGCATTGGAATGTCTGGTCTCTTCCTTCCCTTCTTTTCTCTAAAGCAGGCCTGCCCCTGATGGCCCTGTGCCTGCAGCCCTCACCTGTCTGTGTTGTGAGGGTCAGTGTACCTCAGGTAGTACCAAGCAGAATCAACAAATGTATCCATGGTATCGACTTCTCGCCGTGCTGCTGCCTTACACCTGAGCAAGAGAGGAGAAAAGCTATTTTTAGGTAAGTGACAAGCTTGGAAAAAACGACCATATACAGAGTGGTCACAAAGACATTTAGATTGAAAACGGAAGGGGTCTGAAGCAATCTGAAAAGTGACATGTTCAGAAAGATTCAACATCAATAACAGGGCCAACTCCTTCCCTCTCCCTCCCAAAACATACAAAATGCAAACCAAAAAGAAGCCTGAACACTCATCACATCCAGCAATAGTGGAAGACGGCACTGCTTGGGACAGCCCTCTTGATCATAAGTTCCTGGAATTTTTTAGAATTGCCATTTAAAAAAAAACAAAGCACGGAAAAGTGTACTCTGCCATAAAGTTAATGGGTACTGAACATATATCACACTTGTTAGGTGCCAGCTGACAAATAATTTTATAAACATATAGCAGAAGGAGCAGGTGGTTGCCTCTCACTGCTTGTCTGTACAAAACGGTCTTTGCAGATTCCATTTATTATCTCTAGAAAAAATAAACTTAGTTTAATTTCAGCTTTCACTGAGATGTAGCAAATCTCTCCTAGACCTTGTAGCACAATTTTAATTTGTGATTACACAAAATGATTTTTGATTGTAATTATATTGGCAGCCCTGAGAAACAGTTTTAAAATAGATTTTAGAAGCTCAAGTTACTTTCTGGTAATTTCTCCTTGAATATTAATTGTATGCAGGAGCCAATAATCACATTTAATAAACTTCTATTTGTTGTAAATGATCCCTTCTAAAACTCTTACTGTTAAAACAGTGGGATTATTCTAATGTCAATGAAACTTTGCAACCTGTGACACTCATCTATAAATGCCATTGGCTATATGTAAGAAATGTATGCAGTAAGAAATGTATGTGTATGTGTAATAAGTATACATAATAAATGGGGACTGGCTATTTAATATTTTCCAATTGCATATTTAGTCTCTGATCAGGCTTGATGACTGAGCTGCAACATGTATCTGCCTGTCTGTCTGATATTTCAGCTTGGCTTGCCAAGGCAAGTTTATGAGACAGGATCACCACTTAACATTTTGCTTTACTCTGTCTCTGCCCCTGGTCCTTCTCTACCAGCGAATTCTTCTTTCAATGGGAATAGTGTAGTAAAGGAATTTTACTACTGATTTTTAATGTCGAATAATAATTTTATTAAACTGTACATATAAGTAAAGACTTGGCCAATGTAAAAGAATACTGTATTGCATTGAAAAAGAATGGCTTTTCAGTCAAAAGCAAGAATACTTTACATTCATTGAACCATAATTATATCTGCTTCATGTCTCTGTGCTCTAAATGGACATGGCTCACTACCACAGAGACAGCATGGGCATCTTTCGAAGTTTATACAATTTATATCAATATTGTGATTACAAGCACAATACTGTAATCTCATTAGACAATATTCAGATGACTAACACAACTACCTGGACTTGTATAACAATGAAAAACTTGGGCATCTCCTCCCATTTATGATTGCTAACATTATGGTCACTTAAATACTCAGACTGTTGTATCTTTCCATCTGGCTTTCCTTATTAATTCCAGATATTAAATGCAACTAATAAAAACCCCTATTACTGGAGAGAAGGACTAAAGGCAGGGATGATGTAACTTCTCAGAGCAAGGAAAAGCAAGAATGACTATGCACACAAAAGGAATAGCTCAAAGGATTTGAAACTGTAGCAGATGTGGATAAACAATACTGAAGATAGCTGCCAAATAGGTGAGAATTAAGAAGTCAAATAAAGGTGAGAATTAAAGAAAAAAAGTGAATTTCAGCAAACTACCACATTTTAGGCTAAGAAATTAATCCTGTGTGACTTTATTTCTGACTCAACAAATACCCTTGATTAACTTCTAAGTAGAGCAGCCGCAATAACTATACAGAAACCATAAGTATTTGCTATACATCAAAAGTATATTACTGCCTGGTAAATAACAAAATAATTTTTTAGTTAAAGTTGTGGAGGAAGCCAAGAGTGCAGACAGTGACTTTCAGTCACATCAGGAAAATTTTTCCATTGAAATTAGAATTGTAGACCAAGGCATTTCTGGGGGTTTTACTAAATCTGTGGATCTTATTTAGTAAAGCTTCACTGCAAAAGTTCCACTTTAAAATACACTACTATCTGCAGTTTCAATAGGCACGTCTGAGAAGAAATTTTCTATGCAGAAACACAGGAATAAATGTCTGTTTTGTGAAAAATACATGTTATCAACAAAAGTCAAAATACATGTTCCCAGAAAACCATGGAACTGCTGTGCATAAGCTACTTAATTAGAAATAAAAACCCTGCTGATATTCTACCATTTAAAAATTAAAATGAAGTTATAGATGTTATGAATCTCCTACATTATCAAGAGAGCCATATTGTCTTTTTTATGTCTGATTCCCCTGCCTGCAGCCTGGTAACATACTTCCCATTTGGTCAGTCTGTTAGCAGCAGCATTGCATTACACTGCTGATGAAAAACTTCTCTGGGATACTTCATGTTCTACCAGTTCCTTCCACAGAGCCTATATGCAAACTTCAGTGTACAGAGTATCTAAGCAGCCCTCAAGATTACACAACTGATTTTCACAACATATCTTTCACTACTTAATTTAGGCTGTTTTATTTCTTCAAAAGCTGGACTACAAACAATAAGGATTACAGCACTGTGCATATACTTACTATCTCCTTCAATCTGAATTACATGCTCTTATCTGTAATGTATAGTGCATGTAATTCTTCATGATCAAGATTTACATAACTTAGGGAACACTTTATTGTTGGACTATTGCAAGAAAATGAATACAATGTTTGTTTCCTTAACAAAAGGACATAATTTAATAATCATCGTAAGCTTCATTTGAACACTGGTGGTGAAAGATAATTAAAATAATTGTAGTAAATGAAGTGAGAAATACTATTAAGAAATGGGAAGCAGGGAGAAAATCATTCTTTTTTTCCTTTTTTCTTTCCTCCAACTTAAAACCAGTCAGTTTTGCTTCAGCTTGTTTATGAAAAAATAACTGTGGGTGTTTGTGTTGCAAAAAAGGAGTTTTATAGAGTATACAAGAAAAAAATCCCTACGCTGAGTCAGACTAAACATCATTCTGGAGTAGTATTCTGTCTTAGAGCGGTCAGTCCTCAACACTTCGGGAAACAGCACAAGAAATGGGCAGGTGCAAAGCAATCTCTCCCCGACTGCAGCAAATGCAGCATTGGCTTACCTTGGACAGGAACAGTTCACCCATTCAGGAGCACTTTCTAAAGGAGAGGCTCCCTTTCCTGTGAAGGTGGTTACAGTGGGCAACACTACAGGTAAGTCTTCATAAGGTACAGGAACGGTGCCGCACGTCTGGCAGTGAATGACTGGAATAGGAGTTCCCCAGTACCGCTGTCGAGATATTAACCAGTCTCTTAATTTGTCACTTGTTAGGTCTCCACCTATTCTTTTATTTTTGGCCCGCTGAGTAATAGCTTTTAAAGCCTCCTGCCGAGTCATGCCAGTGATCTGATTGAGAAAAGAAAAAAAAAAAGAGAAGCAGAAGAAACAAAAATTTATCCTTGCTGTCAGTGAAAATGCAAGAACAGACAAAAAAAGTCATAAATGCAATTTCTGAGAGTCTAAGTTTATGAGCATCATAATAATTTTCCCCTTCCCACAGCTTAACATCCTCCTGTCCAAGAGACTGTTCACATAGCAGCTACTCATTTGAGCCCTCTTGCTTAAAGGATAACATTTTTGATGGGCTGAATAGAACAAGGCAGAGAAAGAGTCTTGTAGATGCCTTCAGCCTTTATTGGCATATATTTGTATCTACTGCTTATATCTTTATCAGTTGCTGAATACCGAAACTCCCAGAATTCTATTACCAACATAAGGTAGAAACTGAGGAAATGCAAATGTTAAAACAGCTTGCTTTCTCCTGTGCTCATTTTAGGTTTTTCTGTTCTTGCCTTCACAAATACCTTAACAACTTAGATCCCATCTAGCGTGTAAGAGAATATAAGCTTTGTGTCTATTATCAAATATATTTTTTCAAGAGCTATACAAGATTTCTATGCCACTTGAGGCATATATGTTACCATAAAGGCTGAAACATTTCATTTCAGTGAATATGTGGAAAAAGGACTAATATATTATCATTTAACTTTGAAATCTATTGAGATAATAAAATAACAATCAACTTTTAACATAGGTTAGATTATTCAGTTTCTATTATAGAACTCCAATAAATACAGAGGAAAGTACAATCTTCCTCACAAAAGGAAAAAACTTTTTTTATTGCTACAGCAGAGGCAACATATTTCATCATTAAATTATTCCTAGAAATTTGGTAGCATAAGCTTGGCTTGATTCTCAACAACAACAAAAAAATTCCTTTAATCATACAAAGTATTTGGCACTCCTGAGAAAACAGATTTAGTTTGTACTGTTAAATTGGAAAGAACTCCATACTTGTATACCCACCTCTGCAGAATTAATGACCTTCTCTAAACCATTTGGCAATGTCTCAATGACTTCAGTGAAAGAAATGCCCAGATTCTTAGCTACTGCAGCATCTTCTGCACTAGTACTAGGAATTCCTAGGAGGGATGAAAAAATTAATCAGTTCAGGGATTGACTAACATGGATATCAATCATCACTTTGAGGAAAAAGCATTTCATTTCTATGGCACTCTCTTTATAATGACTTACGATTGCCTGCAGGAGTTAAAGAAAAATATCTAAGAATAAAAATGTTTTCTTATTCTTTAAGCAGTAAAATTCAAACAGCAATAATTACAAATGCATTTCTCAGTTCCTCTGTAATTCAAATGTTCATCAATGTCCTACTGCAGAAAAAGCTGAAAATTTGATGGTTCTGAAAAAACTAAAAATAAAGCTACAAAATTTGGATAGAATCACAGAATTTTCAATACAGCTATATTATCTAAATACATTTTAAAAATACAAATTTTAATTCTAATTGCTAATATGAGAATCAAAGAGTAAACAAACAGCTGAAATAGTCCTCCTGTTTCAACAGTAAATTCAATCTCTTTCTAACTTCATAGCTTATTAAAATATACCACAACATAACTGTCTCTAACATTACTCTCCCTTTAACTTATTATCAAAGACATAATTTGTTTATAAATTCAGAAAAACCATGCAAATAACATCAATTTTCTATTCAGAATATAACTAGTGAGAACACTTCCCACAGCTATTCAAGTCAATTGCAGTATTTAAGGCCCTTGATGCTATCTTTCCTGCTGCATCTTATTATTTGGGACAGTCATCCATTTTAGTTCCGGACTGGAGGATTACCTTTCACATTTATTAGCTTTATTATCACAAGTATTCTAAAATAACACTGAGATACTAACAGATTTATTATTTCCACAAAGATACATCTTCCTACATATTTTTCCCTTTCAGTGATAGTTTAATTAATAGTTTGAACAATCTTGCACAATTGCTGTCATCTTTAAAAGGCAAAGAACCTTATTCCGACAAGCCAATGCCAATACCAAGTTGGTGAAAACTACAGACAAAAACTCTCATAATATTGGCTGAGCACATTAGAATTATTAACATACAAACTGTTTCACTTAAAATTGGTTTAACAATCCTCTTTGTTCAGGCAATGAAATGCCTGCTCCACGTTCACTCTGTCAACACGTGGAAGTTTGGAAGCAGATAACTGAAGAAAATCAAGCAAAACTCCCTTGAATAAATAACTCCTTAACTAGCAAAATATGGAATCGCTATTTTATCTTTCCAGCAGATGTACACTCCTGCCATTTCAAGGCTATATTACAAAATAATGTATGTATCTTAATTTGACAATGAGCCCTGCAGCCTGCAACAGGTGGCTTCACAATATGCTCTACAAACGGAAAAAAGCAGGTCCCACTTTTTGGTTTGCCTTCTTTTGAAAAGATGATGCTATTAATGTACATTGGCAAAGCTCAACAGCTGGCATCCAGACCTTCCCAGGGAGAGCTGGGCTGTTTCCAACAGCCATAAGACCAAGGTATGTGCCAGTAAGCAAGCTGGAAGCTTTTAAGGAAAAAAATAAGATTAGGTATCTCAATTATTTGGCTTCTATTACATAAGGAAAGATTCTGTTTCTCAAAACCAGAGTCATATCTAAAGTGTAAGATGTAGGCATGTTATAAGTAAGGTATACAAGTGGATAATTTCCATGAGCCCTGTGAGGATCATCCAAGACATTTTTGTACAGTCAGCTGGTTTTATTCAGTCCAGTTCTGCAAGATTAGCCAATATAGGCAGTGGTGAAAGCAGCAGCAATAGGACAGGAAAGAAGTATCAGCAACAGGAAGGCAACAAAAGGGAGTTGAGGGATAAGGAAGGTAATGGGAAAAGGGAAGAAGAGATAACTATTTCTTATTTGGACTGGCACAGAAAATTGCCTTCTCAATGTAGCTGAGATGAGACCGTGGCAAGGCACAAGAGTAAACAAAAAGCTCAGTGGGTGTAGATTAAAACAGACACTGGTTTTAAAACTTAGTACTATTTCTAATTTTGCTTATAAGGACAATCATTATCTAAGCATATGTACTAAGCTGCCCAAGTTGGGGGACTAGGCTCCCAGTGCTGGAAAGCAGCTAGACAGGCAGCTTCACAGGACAACTTTGAGAACACAAGCCCACTGCAGGCGATTCAGCATCCTTTAGCAACACCCCTCCCCCTTCATTTATGGATCCTCAACTCTAAATTAGGTACCTTAAATTATGGGAATGTTTCCTTTAGAGATAAAGGATCCAAGATAACTGTCCAAGACTACCTGAAAATAACTATTACCTGCCCTGAACTATTTTACTGGCCTCAACACAAATATTATCAGACAAAAGTCAAACTTGGAAGTTTTGTACATTTACTGTCTGAAACATTTCTCTATAATGATTTGCATAATTTATGTAAACATAAAACACAAAAAAAGTCAGAAGTTAGGGTTGCTTGTCAAAAAACGGTACAGTTCTGTTTTGATTAAGGGTGGTGGGAGACAGCCAAACACACATGCATTGTAGATAATCAATCTTCTTAAGATATGCAGATCCTCAAATTTAGCTCATTAAATGCACTAATTCTATAATATTTCCATTTAAATTTATCATCCTGTAAGTTCCCCCAGACAGATTCCACATAGCTACTTTCCCCTTCCTTCTTCACTAATGAAGAACAGAATTACAAAGTCCAGGGGAGAGCCTCTGTGTTCAAAGATTTATTGCAATTGTACCTTGTGCTTCAACACGGCAACTGAAGACTATACTATGCCACTTACACATTAAATGTCACATACCTATTTTAGTATCAAGAAAATTATCAAAATTGGTTTTTGCTGAGATGACTACAGGAATCTCCTGATTGGTAAGCAAATTCACAGCTGTCACTGAAGTAAGTGAGTCTGAAAACAAATGTAATAATATGGTAAGAAAAATATGACAGAAGATATGCTAAGAACATAACTTACCATTAGAATGCAGCTTATCTTAGACATATGTGAATTTTAAATTACAATTTTCTTTTAAAAAGAAACAAAATGAAAAACTTAACCATATTTCTAAAAAGCTCAGATACATTAAAATGTTCAGTTAGTCAGACTGACAAATTTTCATGATTAGAAAACATACTTATAACAAACACCTGAATAAAAACAGAGTAAGATTTGAAATACAACAAAAAATTCAGTCTTTGACCAAAATGCAGGCCTTCTGCAAAGTTGTATTAATTGGCTTTAGTAAGCCCCGATTTCTATACTAGCATACAATATTACAAAATTCCACCAAAAAAAATCAGATGAAATTGCAGGGGAACATATATCCTTATGATTAATTTTTTACAGAAGGACTACAAAGCATGTGAAATACCAACCACTGTTAAAAAGCCACCTAAGTAATGTATTGATTTGCAAACAGAATATTCATATTACTACTAGAGATGAGGAACCCAATGTCCACAAGGAAGAGGAGAAAGAAGAGGAGAGAATCAAGAGTGAGAAGTGTAATCAGCTCAAATTGACGTACAATGTGCAATTGGGTGGCTCAGCAAGAAGAAATCCAAATCTAAATACTCTTAAGTTTTAAGGATTCAAACACCAGATCTTCCTTTGGACCTATTTCTAAATTTTTCAGTGCCTTTAAGTTGATTTAATAGATTTCACAGAGTATTCTGAGTTGGAAAGCGCCCACAAGGATCATCAAGTCCAACTCTTTAGTGAATTGCCCATATGTGGATTGAACACATGGACCTTGGTGTTCTTAGCACCATGCTCTAGCCAACTGATGATAATTACAATAATTAAAATATGGGCTGCTAAGAGCTTCCTTTCACCTATCTTCATAGCTAGGCTGAGGAAAGCCTTAGGTTTGTATTGCAATGCATAAAAGTTGCTTGAAGTAAAGTAACAGCAATTTTGAGAACAAGGCTGCTGTATCTCATCACTCTTCTTAACACAAATGATATATTTATTTCTTTCTGATTAATACTTTTTCAAATTTCAGATGTCTGAGATATTTATATTATAAAGAAAATTTTCACATTCAAGCCACTGCACACAGCTTTCCTCCTCTGTTTAAAAAAAAGTACAAAAGGAGTAATTCCATTCTTTAAAAGCAACTAACCAAAAAGCGTCAGGAACAGGAAGCTGAGTGGGTAGGACAGTCTGCTTTTAAAAATAACTTCTCCCTTCTACCCAGCAATAATTTTCTTCTTATGCTGGAACCCAGAATAATAACTCCAGTTTATGAAGGTGTTCTTTCCTATGCTCAATTGCTCACATTATTATCATCATAACCGAAAAGAGATGATATTAGTTACAAATGTAAAAGAATGCATACATAGTATTTTAATGAGATAATGAACAACGTAAGGGTCAAATCCTTATCTCAGACACCTCATAACTACCAAAACTATAAGACCCACCAGGTTCTAAATTAACACAAATTTTTGTGGGTAAAAAACTGAATGTTTGAATATTGGTCTATTTAAACAATAATAGCCTAAAATATGGACCAGTACTCCAAAAGTAAAGGTATTAGAATTTTCAGTTACTTTGCAAGAAAACAGCTTTTTTTTAATCTGCTCTAAAATATAAAAAAATAAAAACTCCTAATTATTTAAATGAGAAAACAGTGAAGAAAGGGAGTTACAAGACTATCACCATTGAAAAGAAAACAATTATACTTAATTAAATAAAAAATTGTAATGTTACTGGTGAATTTTTTAAAAAAATCTTGGTTAATGTGAAAATACGCTCTTTACAAGCCCATCCAAAATTTCTTTTCATTTAAATGGCATCATGGGCCTTTCTTATGTACCATGGCTGAAATGCAAAGCTGAAAGTTCATGTAGAAATTCCTCTCCTTTACGTTCTCTTCTTTGGAAAATACCAGTCTGTGCCTTTGAGTCTGTTCCTCAAGAAAAAGTAAGAAATATTGGCCAATTTCAACTGAAGAATGCATAGAAGTATATTTACAAGTAGCAGGAGTACACAACAGCAGAGTTATGATTCTGGATTTGTTCCTCTTGAGGACTTACGGCCGTCATTATCCCAGCTGAGAGTTTCTTAACTTAGCTCAACCAAAAGGTTTAACTTACTGGTAACAGACACAAAAAAGCTTTTACAAGGATTTCTACTTAAAAACCAAGATAAAAAATATACCGTTGTCCTTATTAAAAGCACATTGCACTTATGTGGTTTGGCTTAAAGTACAAAAACCAAGGTACAGGCACATGCATGGATGTGAGTTTCTGAAGTTAGTGCTTTCATTTGGCTCAACTGCAAGAACTGCAAATTTGTTCTCCAAAATTCTCCAAGCTTTGCTCACCTCTGAGACAAGGGCTTTATATACTCAACACAATCAGGCTCTGTTTTTTTTTTTTCTACTAGCAAGCAAACCTTTTTAAGGTTATAGAAATTAGGCACTCAAAAAAAAGCAGGATCTGTGTAACCAACACAATTTCCCACAAGATTCCTGCTTCACTGCTGTTGACATCAGATGTTATATAGACAATGAAACCTCATCTTTACCAGTAAGGGGAGAAAAAAAATATTGATCACCAGCCTGAAGAAGAAATACAAAATATTCAGTATATATTGTATTTACTCTGGTAATTTTCAGGTTTTCCAGACAACAAAAAAATACTAGGCCATGGATGCTAAATACAGGCCTAGTGTAGGCTTAGTGTAAATGGTGGTAGGAGCCTTCAGAAGGCAGTTAACAACATTAAAGAATTATCACTTATTTGTATCCACTGTCACTTATTTGTATCCCCTGTACACGTCATGAATAGGGATACTCTAAATTCACTCCATTAGAGTCTTGTATTAACTAAGGATCTGCGCAACAGAGCATTATTTTGCTATGTATCTGTGATTACTCTGCTATGTATTTGTGATCTATTGCTCTCTTTATATCCCCTGTGACAGGAAGGAATTATTCTTGGTGCAAGAGTTGGTTCTGCTGTCTCTGTGCTAATGACAAATTACCATAAAGACATGAGATTTTCCAATGGGCTGACACAGTCAAATTTGAACTATTCATTTCTGGTACAAGCATTACAGCCATTATAAAAAGAAGAATTCTAGCATAGCTGCTCTCACCACATCTGAAGCCGGGACAGGCTGGTGTGACACTGTGTGACATATAACAAGAATCAAAAGACCTGCTGCCTCTCAACAGGAACAGCTCCTGCTCAGCTTGACACACATTCTCTAAAGATCATTCTCCAGAATTGCTGCTCTTCTACAACAAAATGCAGTATGAGAAAAATATCACCTTTCCCTGCGATGAACTCCTTCTGAAAGACTTCCTTGAGACTGCTATTACCATGCAGCAGTCTGTGAGTTGGTAAGATATATAAATGGGAAGCTCCATAAATGGCTTCAGGCGTATAGGTGTAAGCTGCTAGCTTCTCTCCTGTTACTTCGCCATTAACCTGAAAAAGAGAAGAAAAATTCCCACTGGAAGTGCAGTGGTTTTAGATTCCCCTTCGTTTTTACATAACTAACGAGTCTACATCACCCTGTAGAAATACACAGTTCTGAATATTGAAGCCAGACACATTACCACTATAGGAATTTTCCAGACTCAAACCTTGACAAAACTTACTTTAAGGCCTTTAGGAAGTTACTTTACAGTCTTGCCTCAGTTTATCCAAATATATAAATAAAAATATAATACTGAATTCACATGTAATATTGCATTGTGCTACTGAGCCAGATTCAATCCCTGGCTAAGCAACCTGGAATCCTTCTATTCGCTTTTAATATGCATGCCCTGTTTCCAGGAAACTGAAATGAGATGTTGCCTTTGAAAGCTAAAGAGAATTTAAGATTTTTTTCAGCTACCATATGGCTTTCCACCATACCACTCCGATGAAGTCCATGCTGCGACTTAAGTACAGAAATAAAACAATAAAAGGTGGCACAACATTAAAACAATTTGACATAAAAATGAGTAATAAACTTCAAAGACTGCTTAAGAATTACCACCTGGAACTATCAACAAGGTTTATATCTTAGGTCAACTAACTGTGTACGGAGGTCTTAGAATATTTTTCTGTAATAAGTACTGATATAAATTTTCAGAAATAATTGATAAAAACAACCCAAATAAAAAAAAGGCATCTTTTAGCATGGTGCAAATCAGAGGTATTTAGAAGGTTTAAGCTGTCTCAATTTGAAGTTCCCAAAGATTCAGTATTTTAAAATAAAAAGTCACTTTTAAAATGCTAGAGCAGAGTAAATAAGCACAATAAAGCTTTGAAGCACAAGGGCTGAAATTCGATCAGAGTCTCTAAAAAATCTCTTCTGTCACTATCACATAAATGAAACCTTTTGCCTCTCTTCAGAAAAATGGGAAAATCTGAAGTCCTTCTGAAGATAATTATAAATTTCTTCAGGTTTATTTTTCCTTCATCTTCTTTCTTTCCATCTAGACTTCTTTGTAGCTCCATCACTACCAAATGGTGTGGTTTGCATTATTTTAATTATTGTGTATAGTAAATGAAATAATCGACAAATGTAAGCAAAGTAGGTTGCCTGAGGTCAGCCTGAGTCTGACAGAGAAGATGCCATGCAGAGAGGAGCAAAAGCCCAACTAGATCCCAGCTGACTTGTGCAGTTTATATTTCTCTTGGCACTGCTCTCTAAGTGTCCTGGCTTCCAGGAAAGCTTATTAGTTGGCACGTATTTTGGCATAAATACACACAGCCAATTTGCATCCATTTGAACACACAAACCCTTTCCCAAGGAGGATAGCAGGGAGTATCTCTTCAACCCACAAGTGGTGTTCTTCAGGAATCTGTCCTGGTCTGGGCGTGAATACCATAATAACCTTTAGTAGGTTTCAAGCTTTTGATACCTGAAAATTCATTCCCACCATGCATTTCAGGGGTTACAGTTAGCCTGGCCAAGATAGCAGCAATTGAAATTTCTGACTTACCTTCAGCAAAAAGTCAAGCGAGCAACCAACACAGTCACCTATCCAATTTGCTTGCATTTCTTTAATACCATACCACTCAGGGAGATCAGACAAAGCATCAAACATAGCCTAAAGCAATAAAAGAAATAATTAGGACATTCAGCTTTTATAAGCATACAAATTAATACTATGGGTTTAATTATAACTAACAGCAAAATGGTAAGGTGCTGGTAGAAGAGGAGGTTCAGGAGTGACCTTATCACTCTCTATAACTACCTGAAAGGAGGTTGTGGTGAGGTGGGGTTGGCCTCTTCTCCCAAGTAACAAGTGACAGGACAGGGGAAATGGCCTCAAGTTGCGCCAGGGGAGGTTTAGGTTGGATATTAGGAAAAATTTCTTCACAGAAAGGGTTGTCAAACATTGGAACAGGCTGCCCAGGGAAGTGCTTGAGTGACCATCTCTGTGGGTATTTAAAAGACGCCCAGACATGATGCTTAGGGGCAGGGATTAGTGATGGACTTGGCAGTGCTGGGTTACTGGTTGGACTTGAGGATCTCAAAGGTCTTTTCCAACCTAAATGATTCCATATTATGCAGCAGAGAAGAAATTAAGTGGTATCTCCTTCACTAGCCATAATATCCAACAGCCAACATATACTTCTATATATATTTATACTCAACAAGAGATATATCTATATATTTATGTGCTTTCTGATGGGTGGCATGGAAGTGTAACAGACTATTCCAAATCAACTAATATTTGTCTAAACAATTTGAACAGTGTGATTTTAATAAATGAAATCTATAAAAAAGTAAAGGAGAAGACAAAGGGACAGATAACTCATAGCTCATCTCATTTTTCACTTCATAACACTTCACATTTTTGTTATGAATACTCCATGACTGTCCAAAATCTTTACTCTGGCAGAAGTACTGCCAGAGGCATGAGTCACTCGGACAGATGGTGAATATGCTGAACTATTACAGTTAAAATCTAAGAATAAGGCAACATGTTGAATAATTTCTCCTTCAACTGTGATGCCCAACATCAAATGTGCAAGCTCTTTATTATCCCATTAATTGCTAACAACCTGCAGGGATGGACAGTAGTTACTATATGCTGCTCCAGCTAAACAGTAGGTAGTTAGATAATTAGTGAATGTAGAATTCACTCTTTTTCAAGAACGCGTTTCAAGTTGTGTTTTAATAACATTCTTAAATAATTACAAAATGAAATGTATAAAAGATACTGTAAGAATTATTTTCTAGTTACTGCTCTGTTGTATATCTATCATTCAAAATACAACAAAAGGCATGTCCTTTGTAAATCATAACATCACACTACCGCTTGGGACTATTATTACTTTCTACATCTTTAAGAATCAAACTGATTTATTGATGATTTATAAACAAAAGAATGGCAGGGGTTTTTTTTCCATAGTGTAACTTTAATCAGTTTTAGCTCACAATTGCAAGCATACTATATCACAGAGAATTCCAAGTTCTCAATATTCTCACTAACTGTAATGTTCCAGAAAGTACTGAGCTTTATCTGCTGTGAACCATCCATGCACATATATATACCTACCAAAGAATAATGAGTAGCTAGAGATATATATAGAGAGGTATATACACAATACTTGGATATATTCTTTGCAAGAATTTTATGCATTTTAGAAAGAATGAAATTGTGCCAATGCATGCAGAACTGGCTGGACACATTAGAACACTTTTATAAATCCTCCTGCTTGGATATTCATTCAAATCTACACTATATTTTGCTGGCAGAAGCAGCCAAATGTGCATGTGCTCTGCTGAAACTGTACAGTCTTTAATTGCTTGCCAGCAAAACTTTCTAGATGTTTTTTCACTGCAGGATTAACGCACCGAGATTCATCAATACCAGTGTGATAATGATTTTACTCTAATTCACTGGCCTTATTATAAGCTATAGGCTACAGTTTAACTTTGCCCAGTTCTTCTCTTGATAATGCAATCGCTTCCTGCAGCTAAATACAGTAAGAGCCAACTTCACTTCAATGAAGATAACTAAACTTATTCTGCATGATATAAACCCAGCCTAGCAGGGTTTGCAAACACAAACCCTTCACATTTTAGTTTGCACATAAACAGTAGTATAGTGTGATACAAAAAAATCCCCCATGCAAACAAAAAAACCTTAAAAAATTTTAATATGGAGTTACGTTTCACAGTTCTTTGTGCTCAATGCACTACCTTGGTTTCTTGTAATGGCTACAAATAGCAGATGAAGCAGAAAATGAACATGTAAACCACAAACACTTTATCTAGTGTCACAGAGGCAAAAAATATAGTGTGTGCATACTGCTAGCTTGTTAATAAGTGTTTCTGAATGGTAAATTAACCTAGGATACTCACTAGCAGAAAAGTAGAGAAACATTAACTCTTACACACATGAATGCACTTGTACATTCAAAAGTCGTCCATGCAAATTAGGAGCTTTTAAAAAATTGCTTAAGGAAAACCCTTTAAAAAAAAATTCATTTTCCAATCCAATTGCACTACACCCTGCAAAAATAGAAACCTATAAATATATGTTAAAACTATTATTAATTTTAAAAAATTGCTTGTAGACTGTTTGGGTATATGAAACTCTTGACCAACACTGGCATAGAAAATTCCTGACTATCACAAGCTAGCGTTTGGAAAGTAAAATATTAACTCCATGAATTTTGCTTCCATGTTCTTTTTTAAAATCACTGCCATGTTTGGTAGAACATCATCTGAATCATTAAAGTAGCCCCATGAATTCTGCAATTTGCCAACACTGGTAGTGTTCAAGGCCAGGTTGGGTGGGGCCTTGAGCCACCTGGTCTACTGGGAGGTGTCTCTGCCCATGGCAAGGGGCCTTGGGACTAGATGATCTCTAAGGTACATTCTAACCCCTTAACGTGTTCCCTTAAACAAAAATTCTGATCCTTAACGACATGTATATAACTCCTAGTTATCATGCCACAAGTTTATTAACCAGGTTTGTTAACACAGAGAAGACAATCAACAAAAAGATTCCCAGTACACAGGAAAACAAACTGAAGTAAAACCACGTTGGATTCTGGAGGGGTCAAATAACAGCAGCAACATTACGATCCAGTAAGCTGAGAGTGATAAGATTATCAAATAAACTCAATTTTCAAATTTTTGATGATGACTTCATAGTGAGAAATTTGGAAACATTAGGTAGCAAGGTCCTTCTGCTTTCATTTTTCATTACTCAGGAAGAGACAAGAAAACTTCAAATGCAAATGTCTAATTACAGGAGAAATTACTCCCATCTTAATTAAACACAAGTCGGGGAATAGCATAAATACATTTTGGCAGTCTCTCAGATCTAAAGATAGACAGGCTTGGGAAAAAGCTAAAGAAATCAAAGCTCTGTTTAGGGATGAGAATGACTTCGAGGCTCTAATACCTGGAGAAGATGAAGATTCAGGATAAACTAATGTTTCACAGGACTGCTTCACTCTTTCAGAACATACAGAAAATTCTGGCACAGCTAGAAGATGAAAGTCAACCAACTCAGATGATCAGAAAGTCACAAAATCAAAATGAGCTTGCTGAAATTTCATCGCAGACAATGATGACCAAGTCTGAAATTAGAAGTAACGCATTTGCATGTGGAAAACTGATCTCACATATCGAGCTGTCTAGTCTGCTGAAGATTATGACAGAAACAGAACTTCAGTTAAGCAATCTTCGGGCAAAAAAGGGCCCATAAAACCACTGCTTGTAGTTCCAAGAGGGAGGATTCTGCTGAGCATCTAAAAAATTCAATCTCTGACTTTGTGAACTAAAATTTTTAGTAGATCAACACTTGCTCTGATTTCATACTTACTGAGAATACTTCAACGCCTCTGTAATAGTAAATGAAATAAAGTGAAAAATCTAAATATAAGCTATAAAGTCAAATGTATACTCTTTTTTCAATGAAGACACTTTAATGAAGTTTGACACATTTGCAAGAAAACAAGACTAAAATAAAAAGGTCAGCAAAATGTTGCATTTCAAAAGAATTTAATTAATTAGCAAAATAAAATTGCATTCTGCTGAATTACAATAAAATTAAAAAGCTTTTTTTCTGAGGAAGAGTCAAATAAATATCCAAGCTCTGTTTGGATCAAAATTAAATTCTTCACTTTATTTGATCAAACTCCCAAAGGAGTAACCAAACATTAAAATAAAGATTACATGAAATCGTTTAATACAACTTAATATATGAACTAAAGTAGAGGAAATTAAAGTTAGGCTGCCCACTGTTTTATTTTGCACTCTATTGCACAGTTCCAACTGTGAATATGCGGTACAGCTTCTGCTGGTATTTAATCTCTTCATGTTTTATTACTTTTTTTCCTTCAGTATTTTCTGTCTGTACTATTGTAGGTCACTCTTGACTTTTATTTCCCATGTGTGAAGAATATTGATAACATACATTAAATAGAAGCAATAACACAGATACCGTTTACACTTCAAATTTTTTCTCATAAATGTCTGGACTGTCAGCAGTTTTCCCATTTCTTTACCCTAAAATTTATGGGCAACAAACACCTATGGTTTGATTATGTAGAAGTGAGGCAAATCATTATTCTCCAGATTTGCTCTTCAGGGCTGTTCTCTGCTTAAATTACCAAAGTGAAGATACTCCCTTTCCAATACAATGAAGTGTATCTTTGTGATGAGTAATTGATTCCATAAGCATCAAAGCTCTTTAAAAATATTTGTTATCGTTTTTAGTAGTACAAAGCATTCACTGCTTTGATTAACCTTATACCAAGAGGAACTTTAAACTGATTCGATGATATTGCTGTATCATTAAATGAGATGCTGTGTTTAAACAAAGGTGAAAAGACCAGCATGGTCTGAATATCCACAAACAACTTACTGTCTTGCCAAGCTGACAAAAGAGGTGTCATTTTTTATTAATGAAGTGCTAAGCAAGCTGAGGAGGCAGTGCTCTTGGTCCCTGGCCAGAAGAGAGCTCTCAGCTTGACTCAAGAGGAAGAGTTTCAATGCAAGGTTTATGTTCTGTTAGAAGAAGACAACTGTGAGCTAGATCCCAAGGGTAGGAAATGAAAAAAATCACACATAAAGAATGAA